CAACATGATTTGGTTTGACAGAGACTAGAATAACTTTACTTAATGTGTGGATCCAGCTAGTAATAATGTGTCTGTAATTTTATTTCATTTTATTTATATCACAGGTTTTATTTCATTGGAAAGTGTTCAGATCACCAGTAAATACTGAAGATAAAGACAAAAAGACACCGCTGCATCTAGCGATTCTAACTCCTCGCGCGCCAAATTTCGAAGTGACGAAAACGATTTATCTACTCCTCGAATATGGTGCTGACGTTAATGAAGTGATCAGAAAAATGACACCATTGCGGAACAGGTGATCTGGCATTTTACATATTTTACTCACATTACATTTTTTTTATTGAGTTTCGAAGTTTTGAGCTCAAAGGAATTTTGGGGTGAATTTTGAAAAATTTAGTAATGGAGAATAAAATTCTTTGTTAATTTTAAAGTTAATGACGATGACGATGATTCTTAACAGACTTTGTGGAATTTCATTTTTCGTTAATTTTAAGATACCTATCAAATCTTATCGATCATCAGCAGCGCCTTTCTGAGGCTTTTGATGAAGCGAGGATGAAAACTTTGGTGTAAGTTACTAAATAGTATTAAACATACGTCCAGATTTTTGAAATTTTATTGTTTACTGGGCTTTTCGACAACTGAAGGAAACACGTTAACATTGTTCCACTGTGACAAAGAAAGTAAAGAAAAAATAAGAAAAATAGGGAGGTAGGGAAAAAGATTCATTTTTATTCAGACTGTCATTTATTTTATCAGAGCAAACAAAGTTCGAGGGAGAGGTGCACGTCATTGGACAATTCAGGTCTTCAAAATAACGTTTTAAAACTTCGAGTAATTTTTACAGCTATTCTTCGATCATATCGTCATTATGTTCAATATATTAAAAACGCATGAATTCAATCTCCGAAGTCTTGCTTTGAGGAATCAGTTTTCAAATAATTTAGAAAATATTTGATAGTCGATTGTTCAACTTATATGAAAGATGACTGCAGTTTAAAATCCAATTAATAGAATTTTTGGTACAGCGTCATCGATTTAAATATTCACTTAAAAGGACTTTCGGAAATTAGTACGGCACCATCGATTAACATTAAAGGCTTATATCGCATTCAGAATTTACAGAATGTAGTTTTTCACATCATCCTTTAAGCAGTCTATTTTGTTTCCAATAATCAGTCAAGTATACCATAGTGATGACACAATCAATTCGTTCTGTTGGATAGTGAAGTGAAGAAGGGGTAAAATCATTGGATGAAGGAATGGATGTTTTGTCATTTTTTTGAAATTCCTTAAAAACTCTGATATGACAAATTTCGAAATCAAACTGTTCAAAAGAAGAGAATCTGTAGCGGCCTTTTTTAAGGAGTTGAACTGATGGTGGGTTATGATCAGTAAATACAAATATAGTACATAGTAATAGGTGATCCGTTTTTGCTGCAAAAATCTGACCTTGCATTTTGTTTGAATTTCATGTTATGGGAATAATAGTAGTGCCGGAGAGTTGTTTCACTCTTCTTTGTCAGGATATGGCGATATTTTGTCTACTATGGATAAATGCGTCTGCTTTTGACATTTGACTCTACTACTAGATACATCCAAAGGTTATGAGTTAAAATCTCGGGTAATAAATTTATGTGGTAACGGACGAGAGATTTGTGTTCCGCTTTTAGTTTTACACGATAATGAGTCGTAAGCATGTGGTCATTCTAAATGAAGTGATTTTTTTTTTTAATGGACTTCGTCTAATTTATCCAGATTATATCTCACCTGCTTCTTTCTATTGATCTTTCGTTAACAATTTGTTAAAGGTTAACAAGTAGTGCGGCAGATTTGTCTTAATTGCCTCAAAGTGAGTTGTGGATCAATCATTATGGTATTATAGAAGTAGTGGTAAAGTAGATAGTTGCATTTGGAGAAGATCGAATTGGCTTCTGCTGCTGGGAAACTGGATTAGTTAATTTTTAAAATGAAAATGATGCTAGTTGATGCTACGAGATGTGCTAGAGCGCATGCTTACAGCATGCATATGCATGCATATTTATTTCATAAACTATATATACGCAGATCGCAGATCGATTCATATAAAATAGAAGTTTTAAAATATAACAATATCGCGAAAAAAGGAAACATACGTAGCGTTTTAGAACTTGATTGGGTGGTTCAGAAGTTAATTTTGCTCTTTTTGAAATGATAGATTTTTTTTTTTAATTTTCGTCCATTAGATAATAGTTAATAAATTAAGTATAAAACAACTAAGTTATAAATAATTAGGTCCTCCCTTCCTGTTGTTTTTTTTTTTTTTGTTTCAATAACTTTAATATTTGATGAAATTGATTAATTCGTAAAAGCATACCATTAGATGGTTTGTGTCCAATATTAATTTATTACACATAAATTTCTTTCTTTTTAATTTTCATCGTTTTCTTTTTTTTTTTTCTGAAACAAATCACACAGGTTTGTTGATTTTTTATTGCTTTTCTGCCATTTTCCACTTAGTTTTGTGTTTTATTTTTCAAACATTCATTCCACTAAAAAAAAAAGATTAATTTATTGGAGATGATCAGTTCAATTTGCTGTATTTGTCGAAGGAAGGAAGACAAGGAATTTGCAGCATAAATTTGACTGTAAATCTGATTGGTACTAAGTTTGTGGACTTTGAATATACCTATCATAATAGTAAGGATAGTATAAAGAGAAAGAGAGAGAGAGAGCGAAGAAGACATAATAGATTTATTTTTTGTTCGCTGTTGTGAACTCTTCAGATTTTCGAGTACGAGGGGATTTTGGAATTTTTTATCAAGGTTGATGCATATTTTCTGTATTGGACGTTGAATGCATGAAAATGGAAAGTTTTTGTGTCCAGGCTGTAAATTTGGGAAGGTTCTTTTCTTTCTTTCTTTTTTTTTTTTACATGATAATCTTCCTAAGCTGGAAACTGAGCGGAAGGTAGGTCTTGATGTTTTTTTTTCTAATTTCTTGAAAGTTTGCAGTCTGATTATCCTCTTCATTTGGTCGATTTATTGAAGGTAGTTCTAGGCTCCATAGTTTATTAACTTGTTTTGTTTGTTGTCAGAAAATCTGTAAGATTATCGTATTAGTTTCACTTGGTTATTCGAAAATCCCATAAAGTTATAGCTCTTTCTAAATTGCTATGTACAAAAGAAGATCGTATTCCTATTTAAAAAGTTTTAAGTTTTCGTGTGCGTTAATAATATAAATCCATGTTAATCACATATCTCTTACTGTTAAAAGTTTACTTTGCTATTAATCCAGTCATCATTATTTTCATGCATAATACATCAATTTTTTCGAAACTTAGAAAATTCTTTGTTTTTTTAAAAACTAACCGATATAAATGTGTACGTATTATAGGTTTTGATTTTCTTAATTTCCAGAGACATAACTGTGAAGCGAATACTCCTTCCTGTTTCCGTCCGGGCAATGTGGGAATTCGAGTCGACAGATTGGACAACTGAAATTGGCTTTAATCATGAAACGTTCTTGTTTCCCAATGATCGCTATGCTTATATGATATTACTTGCTGTTTTCGATTATCGGAGCGCACGATATGTACTAAGCGTTTTTGCTTTTTTCGAAAAATTTTTGCTTTTTTTTTTCGAAATTTTGCTTTTTTCGAAATTTAATGATTATTCAAACCATTACATTACTTCGTTAGGTTATTGTAATCTTTTAGTTTAGAAACTTCTGCACACATCTTAATGTTTTATGATATATAAATCATTTATTATTTTTATAATTTCATTTTTTTCAACTTACCATGAATTGCAGTAATCTAATATTACTAGGAAGAAGGAGCACGAGGTCAACAAAAGTTAATATTGAAATGGTTGATTTGCGCAGTAGAATTGCTGATAGTTCAAGATTTTGTTCATTAATTCACATCAGATCCGAACTTGTTACTTGTTGCAAACATTTTAACTTACAAATTTCAAGACTTGTAAACAAGAAATTACAGTGGCGTGTACGAATGTGGGGTGAAAGTCCCTTTGACGATGTGCAGATGAATAATGATGCGGTGGAACCACTGACCAATAATCCGAAAGGTTTCATTTATGTGACTTCGCTTATCAATGGCTGGAATAAGTTGAAAATCCGCTTTCATCCTTATGTTAAAAAGAAGAAATGGTTAATGATGGCACAGGTAAACACATATAAATGTCTTCTAAAACTCTTTTTTAAGAGTAAAAGTGATAGCTATACAAAACAATGTTTTTTTTTTAATTGTCTCAAAGGTATTTTGTGACTTTCAAGGTTTCAAAAGTATGTCATTTAATGACTTTAACTGCCCAAATTCATCATTTTTTTCAGGTGTTGCTTGTACAGTTACACAAACCCGCCTCATATGTACCAAGACCTGCACTTGAAGTAGCCCCTGAAAGTGGTACTGATTGGAGACACGAATGAAATGTACTGGTTACTTCTGTGACTTCTTAGGACTCACTTAGGTTTCGCTTAGGTCAGCTTATTCTTTCTACATTTGTTTTCTTGTTAATCATGTGCTCGAGTGTTTTATATAAGAATTTTACTAAGTTCTGGATAATTTTGGGATATTCATTCAGCATGCACTGTGTATTTTTGAGGACTACATTCCAATAAGTACTAGGATAATCGTGGTTGCTACATGACAATCCATCATTTAATCAAAATTTTTTAGGTGCTTACGTGCTAACTTTTATGTCGGCTTTAAAATTAGTGAAATTTAAAATCAGTATGATCTAAGAATTAAAGACCGTTGTTTGCTTAGTACCAAAATTTTTTAATGTTATTGAGTATGATTTTATGAGTACTGGTACGTGTTTTAATATCAGTAATAAAGTTCGCTTATGAAATTATCAGTGTAATAAAAGGCATTATTTCTGCATACGACAATAAACATGTAAACATTTACTTATTACTGTTGGCATAGTAAAAAATAAAATCAACATTAATTTCAAAATTTAAGATTTACTTATATTTTTTTATATGCTAAACAAACATTATTCATCATCGACATCTGTGAAATCATATGGTTGGAAGATTTGCTTTAGATTGTCAATCAGTTTTGTTTGTTCATTTTTCTCCAACTCACACTGGCGCCAGTCAATTTTTTCTTCACAATCCAACAAAGCCGGCTCTGCCAATACCTATAATTCAGTTTCTAGTAAACTAAAGATAAAATTCTTTCTACCCGAAAAATCTCGAAGAGATTCCTAAGGTTTCTCAAAGAATGCTTCTAACTTCAAGTGCTTTTTCAGTTTTTCCTTAAGAGAAAGTAACCAAATGGCTTAGGATATTTATTATATTGGACTTACTTCCCGTCCAAACTGCAGTGGGAAGTCGACCATTTTTAACGAATAAAGTCGGCTACCATCTGGAAGCTCGACAAGGAAATATGGACAACCTTCATTTACTATATCCCAAATCTGGAAAACTTATGTTTTTTAAAAATGCTTCTGCAAAAAACAAACAAATGCACAATGAACCATTATTTATAAATAATAAAAAAAAAATTTTTTAAATCGGAGGGTTTTACCTCCTCTTCTTCTTCGAGGAATACCATTTCTATGTTTTTGATTTGTGCGGCATTCAGGAACGAACTTCGCAAAGCCTTCGAACAAGTTTTCGGAATTGGTACAACTTGTATCTATAATAAAGCCTTTCTTGGTAATAATTATAATGCAAATTTATTGATAATGAGCAGATGATGTAAGCCAGACTTATGTATTTGCGAAGCATGCATTCTTAAAAATTCTTGTAATTCTTGAAAAGTAGAATTAAATAAGCTGCGAGATTCTCTCCTGAAGACAGAATGAGGAAAAGCTTGGACTAAACAAAAACCTGCAAGTGTTGCGTTTTATAATTCCGTTCGAAAAACACTGGTAATTTGCCTTGTTTGTTAAACATCAGCGTTAGCGCGTCTTTGTATTTCTTGATGTCATCTCTAACTGCTTGCGGAGCAGCCACAACTGACTGTATGTGACCTTTTAAACAAATCATATTACTGTTCTATTCAGCAATTGAACTTCGAGCAACAAAAGTTTAATTTCAATCGAATCAAAGAAAGGAATGTAATAGTAGGATTTACTACAATTTAATCATAAATTGGAAACCAACCAATCGACAGAATCATTACATGATCGTTTACTAGCGGACCTTTTGGCATAGCTAAGTAACATTCATCTGCTACAGATATTACCAAATACTGTTCCACATCTACGTTTGATAAACAGAACCAGCAAGGTTGTTGAACTCGTACTTCGCGGGATTCTAGAAATTTGGTGGTATGAAATTTTCCGATCGGATATAGTTAAAAAGTGCAGTGAATTAAAATTAAAATGTCTTGGTAATAAACACTCAAAAGTGCCTTTAAAGCTATGATAACTATATCCAAAAAGTTCACTTTCTTCTGTAATGGTATTTGTATTCACAGTGTAAGGTGTTCTAAACATTTCTACTAGAAGAAAAGCTGAGAATTTACAAAGATGCTATTTTTAATTCCTAATTAATCTCAATAGGTGTGGAAAATTCGTTTCTTAAACCTTTCTTCCGTCGTTTACCGCCATGATCAATATTATCTTCAACTTCAGCTGACATATCAAAAAAATACTGCTCCTTGAAATCCTGTTGTTCCATTTTTTTCTCTTTTTCACTAAAAAAAATTTAATAAGTTTTCAATTCTTTATATTCTAATCCTCAGTAAATTTGCCGTAAATATTGAGGAACGTTGTTTATTATTAATTTGACAATTTGATTTTCTTTGCATATCAGCAATCATTAAGCAACGTAAGTTTTCTATCCCAATTTTGAAAAATCAAACTAAAATGAAGTGAACCATACTCTAAGATCATTCGTGCCAGGATCTCCATGTACGGAAATTCTGTAGCATTATTTGGTTGCGCTGTAATTTCAGCTCTTGATAATTTCCGCATGGGGGTTATTGAGAAGGCATAAAGCCATTTGTCTTTTTCCGGATTCATTACTGGAGCTAAACCAATAAAACGTGTAACGTGTTGAGCCACTTCTTGTAAGACTCGATGGTTCCTAAAAAAAATTTTTCTTTTTTATTTAAATCCTTCAAAATTCAGAATCTTGAATCACTATATAAGTTAATATACGCATTTTTGAGCACAAAAAAAGACGGAAATTTTTCCAAATATCTGCATTGAAAAGAAGGACGAAAAATGAATAAAGAAATCATCACTAATTCAATTTTAAGGCTTGAAGGAAAATTAAACCTGTACGGTGTTCTTTCGTAATGTGTACCCATGCCAGCAAAATGATAACGAGGTTTTAAGCCTGCTGCAAGTTGTGATAAAATACAACTCCCTTCAACATCCTTTTTTGGACAATTTGTCGAAAACTTTGAAATCTGAAACTTGATAAAATAGAAAACCTATTTTGATAAGTATCAAACTCAAGAACTGCATAACTAGAAATAACATGAAATGGTACCCCAGCGGGCCACATGGATGTAAGCAGAAGATCGAGTCCCAAATATCCGGTACTTGCTTTTACAAAAGTTAGCAATTCATTAACATCCTTCTGATTGAACTGAAAAATGTAATGAATGTACAAACTACTTAATTATTCCAAAAATAAATCACTAGGTTCAGAAATATGCTCATTGAAGAAATGAATGAAAAGAAAGCGGAAAGAGAAACGAATATATCCTGTCATTATTTCGCAATATTTCATTTCCCGTAATGCAAATTACTTTAAAAATTTTCATAATAAATCTTATAAAATGTTACCTGATAAGGTAAATCTTGTGTACCCTCAATACCACTTAGATATGCCACTTGAAGACCACCAGTTGTATTCAATATACCTCTCTTACCAAGATATGTTAGATTTGCAAAGAATTCAATACCATCTTTCGGATAAAATTGTGAAGTCGACGGGCAACATGAACCTATTTATGACTATTAATAGTTTCTAGACAAAAGTCATTATAAAGCCTCTTCAAATTTGATTTTAAATCCAAAGTTTGATCTGCTCACTTCTAAAGCTTCATCTCTATTTCTGCACAGTGATATTTCTTGGCAACTACCAAATTAAAATCAGAAATAGCTTCTTACCTACAGTTTTTCTCTATGAATTTTTCTTGTTTATGAGAAACAAAACTCAAAAATTATTTATAGAAATCACTAAGTTGATTAAACATTTATTCTTCGCTCACCGCTAATCCAGTATAAGAGAAACTTCAGCATTACGTCCAATATCAACATCTTGAGAAAGAGAATTCGAAACATTATTAGCGGTGGAAATCATTTAAATAATCCCTGGATTAGGTTGGTAATAATTATTAAAAACTAGAGATTTAGAATTCATCTTAAAAAATTCAAGAAAACCTAAAATATACGTAGAAATCGGCATTTTGACAACACCATTGATAATTTGTTCGTTTGACTCCTTATTCGGACCAAAAAATTCGCCAACACAAAAAAGCATATCAAATGGACCGCTCTACAATCAAGTCATATATTCTAAACAATACTATCACTGTGAATTAACTTGAAAAGTAATGATGAAGCTGAAAAAAGAAGTTACCTAAATATTTTTATGCTTTTTCGCTCATTTCTGCAGGTTTTATATCTTTTAACGGCACTGCTATTCTCAAGGACTATTAATTTATAGTATAACAGTAGCTACATAAAATCTCACTTTTTTGTTAACAGCATTCACTCGTTTTAGCAATGAATCGAACTGTCCATTCACATCACCACAAACAAGAATTTTTAGCGACATTCTTCAGATCCCCAATAACGCAAACTTTAGAAATCTATAAACAGCAAGAATTTATTGTATTTGTGTTCCCTTCAAAAACATTGGAATGTACTCGTACATTTCGTCTAATTAATTATCTTAGGCGTTCAACTAGAAAAAAAAAATTCTAGATTTGGTGAAAGACATACACCACCACTACTATTTGTATAAAATATTGAAAAAAAAAAATCTACAGTAAATGTAGTGGCGTTAGTAATCAGCGACATATAAAACTCTGCATTTTAAACATTTTTTTCTAAACAAAGGAAATATGTTTTTTACGCAAATTAGAAAATATTATCAAGTCTGAACAATCTGAACAAGTAAAAGATAAATATTAGCATATGGTTTATTAGAAAGATAAATCAATCCACAGTGAATTCATCACATAGCGCATGAATCTTAACTAGAAAAATCAATGAAATTTCCAGGAAAAATGAAAAAATATAATATCTTTAATTGTCTTCATCACAGTCTTCATGTTCTTCTCTTGTTCTTCCTGGACAATTATTTTCCAATTCTTCGTTTGAATCATACTGAGCTCCGCACCAAACACAATAACAGTGGGCAGCACGGAGGTATATCGTTAATTCCATTAACCTGCAAATAAATTTTTATTGCAGCTAGTTCGAACAGTCAGTTTAAATTTTAAACAGTCAATTTAAACCACGTGAGCGACTTAAATACCTTATATTTCTTCTAGCTTTCATTTCCGGCAAACTGGTTAAAAATATTTTACATCAAAACTCTAGCTAACACAGTTTTTCAAAAGCAAATCAATCTAAATTTTAACATTAGCAAAAATTAAATGAGAAGTAATACAATTCAGTAGAATTTCATCTATTAGAACCAAAATTTCTAATTACACCCATAAGAGATAAGCACTAAACTTTCTTATAGAAAAAGGCTGTGGAATATTATTCCATTTTTATTGTTTTATTGCTTCACGCGTTTATTGTTTCATGCAAAGTGGAAATTTAACCATCAGTTTCTCTTGAATGTAATTATTTCACTTAAATTCTAACCAATAACTTATTGTTATTCGCCGCTCGTTTTTTTTATTATTACCTATTCATTCATTAACTGGTTGAGAGAAGTGATAAATGATAATTAGAATACTTTCCAGTTACTCTCTTTTCTGTTTTTCAAAACGAATCTCAAAAAAAAAAATACCATTCCGTGATTTCATTCTCCGGTAATTCATCAATATTTAAATCATTAGGTGCCATATTTCCGTTAAAATATGTGAAACATTCCGTAATGCACTCGGATTCTTCATTTTTTCTCGTTTTCAATGAAATATCATCCTCCTTCATTACTTTGTACACTGGCCAAAAATGAGAGGATGTAGGAAGTTCTAATCCATTTCTGAAGTTGATAAAAAAAATAACGGTTCTATTTTAAAAATATGGAAGTAATATGCACAACGATCAAGATCTGTTTTCACCTAGCATCTAATTCCTGGCATACTTTTCGACTTTTTTTCAAATCCTTCGATATCTGTTTCATACGTACAGCCCGCCGTTTTCTTATGGAAAAATCATCCATAAGTACTTCCTGAAACCAAATTCAGCAAAATAAAAAAAATTAAAATGCTTGACACGATGTGTAGATTGGACGGATATAGCAAGAAATCACTAATGTGATTAATAAAGTTGCAGCCCACAGGCTTTAACTTTATATTTAAGATTTGAAATTCTCAGAAAATTAACATTAGCTTTCGCCCTTTCTAGTACAGCTCTTTGATAGAGATCCATGCGCTGTCTTCGTTTTTCAGCCTCTTCCGTATCATGCCCTAATCCTGTGCGATTAGTTTTCATTTCCACTGTGATGGGTATCTTGATCCCTTCATTGCAACCTGAACTTAACCAGTATTGTCTTTCAAGAAAAAAATATTATTTCGAACAATACTAAAACCGTATTCTTCTACTTCTTTCAAAGTTACAAAGACCAATGCATTAGAACCGCTAAACTCTGATAACAAATCTGATAACAAAGAAAGAAGGAATATATTAATTACCTTCTTTTTTCACACCTAAACTCATTCCTCTTTTATAACCCATTTTGGATAGCAACAGGAATCCTTTCGAATCTTCGCTAATAGGTTTCGCCATCGCATCATCCCGAATCTTTTTCTCTATTTCCGAACGTTTTGATAGATTCCGTAAACGTTCAATATTTTCCACCCGTTTCGCCTCCACCTTCAAGTTTCGCCGTTGCGTTTGAGTTATGGCAATTCCTCAAATACACAAAATTTGAAAAAAAAAAAAAAAAAGAAACTGGAGAAAAAATGCGATCAAATTTTCTGGGAATATTTTCCCTTTTTATGTTGCATCATTCTAAATTTACATTTTCAATCCCAACCAATCGAATGCTAACATAATGCATATAATACATTTATATTTTATTTCTTTTTTGCTCGTGGAAAACAACTTCTGATATTCTTAGCTTTCAAATTGCAACTCGTTTAAATTCATGGATGAAAGCTAAACATATAAGTTAGTCCTCCTCGAACTTCTCTGTTTCTTTAAAATTATATTATTCTTTTTATATGCAACAAATTGTAAACAAACCAGGTCGTGTATCCACAGCTGTGTATGTATCGGACATATAATCATCATCACTTGTTGTTGCACTTTCCGGATCCATCAACCGTTTATATTGTCGTCTATGACTTCCTGTAACGTGAAATATGCATAGGAAAAAAGTGTATACATATTTACCGGAACTATAACATTTCCACTCACAAATATTCAAAAAAGACAAAAAATAAAATAGTGGCCAAGCTTCACGGACAACTATCTTATATCATTCTACTTTTACTTGCTATGCTCGTTATTTCCTAAGTGTCACTTTCTTTATCTCCGTGCACTTCAAATCAAGCAACCAGATTTCCGGAAATGGAAAATCATTCATACTGTCTTCAGCTAATATAAATTCTTAACCCTCACTGTAGCCACCGTCTTCCGAAACAACTGAAAAGGTTGTGGCCTTAAAATGCTAGGCTCATTTATTTCTGTCTAATTTTCTGATTTGCGTGCTAAGTTGTATAAAGTATTTAAATCGCTTCCCGGATGAACTAGTCCACTTACTTCATTACTCTCATTTCAGTCTCTAAGTATGAGCGGTCGTAGAGGTAGCTATCGAGATGATGAGATACCAACGTTATATGTACGACAGGTACATTACTCCGCTCGGTATGAATTTTTGTTTTGGCATTTTTTATAAGTTTTTTGAAATTCATTTGTTTGTTTTTGATATGATCTTTCTTTTTTCGAAAGTCGTATTTCTGTGTGATTTTCTTCATTTGGATGTATTTTGATGTTTTATGTAGTTTTGAGTATAAATGAAGCAGAAAACTTTGTGAAATATGATCTGTCCGGTCGTTTGTTTATTTTTTGATAATCAGTCGATTTCTTTTTTGAAATTTTGAAACATGGTGGGTAAAAAGGAATTTTCCTAAGTCACTAAATGGCATGAGAGAGAAAGAGAGGAGGAAGAGGGAAGATACGAAATTATGCAAACAAAAAGTTCTCTTTCGATTTAAATTTGTTGTGGCGATATATAAGAAGTACTCTTTTTCAGCAACTCACTAAATAAAATTTTTAAATGAAGGATTACCAGTATTAACGGATCAAGTCAATTTACGTGGTTTTATTAAACGTTCTTTAAGAATTTTTGGTCAGTTACTCAAGCTTCTGATTTATAATCAACAGCTTTAAGATCTGTTAGCTTATATACTTATTTTTGCAGGCCTGATGATTTGCGTGCGTTATTCGAACAGATGGGACCTGTTCGTGATGTCTATATTCCGTTGGATTATTACACACGTGAATCACGAGGTTTTGCATACGTAAAGTCAGTGACTTTAATGGTTCAAGTTTTGAAAATTTCATTTGTGTAGTCCAACTTTTTAAATAGCACTTGTGTAGTCCAACTTTTGAAAAAAAATCCACCTGTTTTTTCCACCTACTCTCTTTTAAATATCAAATTCATATTATTTTTTTTCAATTAGGTGGAGTTGGAAAGGTGCAAGCTTTCCTTCTTTGGTATATCAAGTACTAATTACCAAACAAATCTTCAAGTTCAAGTGTTGAGTGTTGATTGAGTACCCAGGAGGTTAAAGTTAAACTATTGGGAACTCAAATACGGGTGGTATAGATTGGATATACGATATACGGGGTAAAATATATTCACTGGATATGAATTCTGTTATTACTATTGCCTGTGCTTTTTCTATTGCTATATACTACCACTACTACATTCATTACTACTGTTAATCTCTATGATACAAGAAAGCACCCCTTTCCGTACTTGCGGTTGTACCAAAGATTTGCTCGTTTTTAAGTTGTGTTTCTGGTAAGTTCTCACATAGTTTGTACTTGTACTTTTTAACAAGCAGATTCTGGATTATAATTCATGTTCTTTTTTCAGTTTGTTTTCAGGAATATTCTTTATAGTGATCAATCCATCGTTATAACTAGTGTGAAAGGTTTTTTTGTTTTATACGGATAATTTACAGATTTGAATTTACGCGAGATGCAGAAGATGCTTTGAGGGAATTGAATGGCACAAGCATTCTGGGAAGACGTATCGAGGTTGAATGGGCTGAAGGACAGCGAAAAAGTACTGCTAGTAGTTACTGCAACTAGTTTTTATCCTTTTCAAGAGTTTGGCCTGGATTTAAATTTTCTCTTTTATTAAGATGTACAAAAATATAGTTGAGTAGATCATCTGTCTAGTATTGTTATTATTTCCTTTTAATATGCTTGTTGATATTCACTCAAGAAATTTCTCTCCAATGATATTGAGACTTATACGTTTTAGTCTTCTTTTGCGATGCAAATCATTGCAGCATGCCATTTAATCTTTCAGATTATCGGCGACCCTAATTCCTTGGTCCATAATGGGTTTAATTAACATTCTCTCTATTGGAATTTTATGCCGTTATAAAATCTTTATGCACTAAACATTTCTGAATTAATTACTTTATTCTAAGAGTAGGTAAAACTTCAAGTTTTTCAGCAAAAACAGAAATGCGTGCAAGAGATTCCTATAATTCATATCGTGTTCGAAATCGGTAAAGTCATTTCTTATATTGATGAAATTTGGAAAAAATGTGTAATAAATGATTTCTAGTAATGAAGTTGGTGTTGTAAGTTCAAACTTATTCATTATTTTGTTGCAGCTACCGCAGTCGTTCACCGTATAAGTCTGGACATGACCGTTCACCACGACGTCGATCACGTTCAAGACGTCATTCACATTCACGCTCAAAGCGACGTTCGCATAATTCACGACGACATCGTTCAGAGTTGCGACGTCACCACAGCAGTGCGAGATCGAGAAATAGTAGGAGTACAAGATCATCTTCGTCTAGGTAAGTTTTACAAGAGCTTTTTTCTCTCCTTTTTTTTTTTTGGTTTCTAATTGCTTTTTAGGTTTGATTTAACTAATCTTCTTTTTTCCTTTTCTTTTTTTTTTTTTTAATTTCATGTAGTTTATTTCATTATATAATACTTTGCTTATAGTGTTCGAAAAAATCGCAGTAAAGGTCGGGAAATACAGGGGTCAAAATCTCCGCCTATTCCTGGATCTTTATCACGTTCATTAGATGGAATTAAGAATCCAAGTGATGAGGAGCAAGATATTGTCATGAACGAACACAGGTAAGCCTTTTGTGTAATTTCATTTGTCTTACATTTGCAAATTGGTGTAATTGGTACTTTCCACTGTAAACTCTTCTTTAATTCATTTCATTTGTTGATAAAGTTTTGGTTTTTATAAAGTTTGAATATTCGGACAAGTTTCAGTTTTTGGTAGTCTCAGATACTGATGATGCCTAGAATTATATGAAATAATTAAGGTTTTATAAATTGTATATAATTTTTATAAATTATAGTATTTCAAATCGACAAATTGCTGAAGAACTTAGAGAACCAATCATCGATGAACTGGAAATAAGAAGTGAAGCTCGAGCTAGTGATGTTGAAATTGATGAAAAACAAATTCAGAAATCCATTCAGAAAAATGGAAGTACTGTCTATCTCGAGGACCATGTTGGAGTGGAAATTGACGGAAGCAATACTTCAGCAACCGAAGAGGAAGAGGAAGATAAAGCAGTCACGGATATTGAAGTAATTGATGAAATTGTTGAGCAAAATGGTATTATTTTTAATGATACGGTTGTTGAAAGTGATTGTCTAAATAATATTAACGTTCAGGAATTACTAATAGCTGATACCACCACTTAAAGATGAACTTATTTTAGTTATCATTTAATTTCGTGCTTTCATTTTTTGCTGTATGGGGTAATATTTTAATTTCCTTCATTTTATCTTATTTTCAACCATCTCAGGACAAAAAAAAAAGCATAATTTTTAAGTAGTATGCATTAGACAAGAAACGAAGAAGGAACTATAGTAAATAATAACTAAATAACTGAAGCTTAAGTTCACTTATTAACGAACAGATTATAATTAATTGGTCATTTGGTGCACTTAGGATCCGAATATCAGTGGAATAGTTATTATCTGGGAGCACTACCTGAGTATTTGATGCTCATTGAACAAATCAGACGATAGATTTCTGGCGATATATAGATGTAAATATTATCGAATTTTTACTTCCTGCATATGTAGCACATTTCTTTGATGAAATTTGTGCATTTCAAGATGCGAGCTAAGCAATATATGAAGACGAGTAATCAATTGATGTTCATATCATTTATATCAAAAGGTTGAGAGCTTTTAGCTTACTATTTGATATACATTGTTATTAAGAAAGAAAAAAAAAGTATTAAGAAAAAGAAAAAAGATGCTGTACATGCTGCAGTTTAGTAATTTATAACTTGTTCTTACGACATAATAATAGAGTTATGTGGTAAATACACTTAATACAATTATTACGGGTTTTGTTTTTCACTTTTTTCTGGTAGTTCCTCTTTTAATTGCTTTAAAAAACTAGAGAGTTTTCTGTTTCTCGTTCCTCGTTGATTTATACAAATAATTGTTTGTAAGTTCCTTGTCAAATAACTGCAGATAAGAATTTTCTTTCCCTTGGAATATAAATTTTGTTGACACTTAAGATTTTGTTTGTTCACACATTTCAAAAATGCTTAAAATCTTCACAGGTTTTAATCACGAAATCACTTAAATAGAGGTGTTATATATTTGTGTCAGAGCACATTCAGTTTTTCGGTTTTTACTGTATATGATGTATTATTTTCATATGTGCTGGATTGTATCATGAATGAGTTTCTGTTGTTTACACTTCTGCTCTAGAAAGAAAAATTTCTGATCTTGTCAAAGAAAAGTGATGAGATGGCATTCTTTTATTTTTTGTTAATCCATATATTATCATATCTTGTTTAGCTCTTTGTTCGTTTTAAATTTTATATTTAGTTTCATTATTAATGAAGTAAAATTCATTAGTTAATGAACATATAAGGTACCAAATTTTTTGTCCAATTTTACTGGTCTTTTGCCTCAGTCCATTATTGAGTGAAATCGGAACATTGTATCAAATAGAAGTTATTGGATCCAAAAAAATAGTGATTTTCAATGGATTTTCAATGGTACTGTCTCATCAATTCATTTGTGTACATTAATTTCATGACTGAATGATTGATTGCATGAGAAACATTTTCGATTATTACTAATTCATTTTGAAAAGGAAAATTTAAGAGTTTCTTTTTTTATGAGGCATGTTGCAACTTTATGTAATGGTAGAGTAGTATTTGTTATGAAGATGGTGTGTAATTCCTGATCATTCGTTTCGTTGCATGTGCAAGGAAGGAAAATCCAGAAAAACAACATCATTTCTCGAGTTTTTTTTTTTTTCTTTCTGAGTTAGCTTTTCGTATCCAATTATCAAATTAAGATTCCTTTCGCTTGATTTAAGTGTTTCAGTTTCTTGACATTTTCAGCATAATCGTTAGAATGCCAATTCTGCGGCAGAAGTTGCTAACCGATTTCTATTTTTCGCCAGAAAAATTATGTGAATCAAATGCTGCAGTTCAACCAAATACGAGTTGTAAAACAAATTATGTTGTTGATCCAAATTGTGAAAATGATGAATTTTCCGAACCTTTATCATCCGCTGAAAATTATCCATTATCAGTATCGCCTACCACTGCTAGTCCTTCGAAAGTTATTCGTACAGTTATTTTATCTAAAAAAGGGTGTAAAAAGAGACGAAATATGTCAATGGATGATTCAAAACAGATGATTTTGGATGCAGGACAAAAACAATTCGGTCATCAACAATGCGGACAGGTGCCTAAGTTTTGCTTATTTAGTAAAAATGATTGAAGAAGATGAAAATCCATCTTAAGCTTTTATTAGAAAATCTAGGATGAGGTTTATTTATGAAATTGCTGCGGCAGTGCTAGTCCTTTGAAAGTTATTTGCACTTTTTTTTTAAAGAAAAGGAAATTATATTTCGCATTTTTTTTTTTAACTTTTGAGCTGGATAGTGCATTTCCTCTCGTAATTTCCTTCATATGCTAATGAGGAAGTGATGATTGCGATTTGGTCACCATCTTCAGTGTGATATGGTATATGATTGCGATTCGTTATTCGATCAGAAGCAACATCAAGAATTTCACAATCGTTTTCTATCAACCAAATGGTTTCGTGTGCAAAGCTCACAGCTAAATGTTTGGAAACGGTACAGCTTTCCTTTTCAGCAGATCTTTTATATGTCATATTTGAATTTAAAATTGAAATTTCCACTGGAAATGTCAGTTTATGCTTTCTGCATACCCGTCTTCATAACAGTCATCAGTAATGCTTTGAATTTAAACCACATTTTAAATTTTTATGGCTACAGATTAATCAGTCTTACACTGTTTTAAGGGCTGCTTTTTGCATTGTTGAACAATTCGAAGGGAATTATAGTCACATATTTTGCATTACGCAAACATCGAAATGTACATTGAAAACACGTGTTGATAAGGTTTATCTCTTTCTTGTTGATAACATTTCGATATGCATCAGACTACACGTAAATCATAGATTTCTTATAAATTCAGACAGTTGGAAGTTTACTTCATCTTATATATCAATTTAAAAATTAAAAATATTCTCTTCTCATTTGATTCATCGTATCAGTTTAGTGCATATTTCTGTTATTCTTTCCTCATCATGGCATATTTATAGATTATTTTGGAATGCATCAATAAAGAATTAGGCTATACACCAGATTTAGCGCAAGTTTGGACATCGGATGGTAGAAGACAAGCTTGGGTATACGTTACAGCTTCAGACAAATATTACTTTATTGGTGCTGTAGCACTGGTTGAAAAGATTTCCAGGAAACAACTGCAGTATGCAGAAGTATATCCTTTTCGTGTTATCAGTTAATTTTAATTTCATTCCATTTCTATCCACAAGTAAAAAGTCTTACTTGATATCTTTCTTTTGAGAGAAAAATCTGTAATTTAAGTGAATGCATAATGTGTTGTCTTGACAATATTTGTATGTACACAGCCTAACATTAATTATAATTTGCATTTAATTTCAAGGAAAACAGTGCAGCAAATAATGATATAATCCCAACAAGCAACAATGTATACATGGGTGTTAATCGAATCTGGGTACATCAAACTTTAAGACGTAGAGGCATTGCAGCACTTTTGTTGGATCATGCACGATCGTATTTCGTCAGTTCTGATTCTGTGCCACGTGAAATGATTGCATTTAGTAGTCTAACAGATAGTGGTTTAGCGTTTGCTAGAAATTATATTTCTGGAGGAAAAGTCCTTCTTTACAATTTGAATCCTGAGACTTGTCACTAATCTCGATACTTCTGAAGTATAATTTAATCTATCCCCAATTTTCCACTCTCATTATTTTAAACAGAATTTTAGATCAACATTGCTATACTCCCCGAATTTTCACTATTTTTTCATTCTTTGATTCAAATAATAGAATGAAATTTTGTTTATAAATTTGATAGAAATTCCATTTGCCACTATTCTTGAATTTTGCACTGCATGGATTTAAAAAGGGCAATATTTTCGAACATCCCTTTCCTTTTTGTCTTTGTAACATTCGTGTTTAATAAAAAACTACCAACCAGATTTTAGTAACAGTTTTTCAGTGATGCATTAGATTTGTTTTTTTTATAAGTGAGAAGCAAAGGAAGGAAATCCTCTCCATATTTATTAGTAGCATTTGCTGAGGTAACAAAGTCACACTTAGGATTGTAATTTATTTCGAAAATTTTCCACTCTCCTTCATTCGCAATAAATCAATATTAAAGTAAATAAGCTTTATGGAAATTTATTAATAGCAAAACATTGCTAATGTGTTGTGTTTGCTGTTAATAATGGAGAATGGAGAGAAGGATGAATGGAAAAGAAAGAAACATACTAATATTTTAGCTGCAGTTCAGAATAAAACTACTAGCATGACTTACTTTATACTACTTTTTTTTTAAATAAAAAGAAAATGCATGACTATCAGGAGCATATCAATGGAGGAATATTTCTGTAAGCTTCATATCAAACCAGTTTATTATACAACTTTATTGTTAGCCGTTTTATGGTAGTATAAAACGGCTTATTTTATAAGTTATTTATACGTAAAATTAAAAATCAGTGTCTGCGGTTTCAATAAATAATATGTTTTAAATTAATATTTCTTTTGCCAAAAACTTTAATTGTTAGCAAAACAGTACAGCATTTTTTTCTTTCTCATTGTTTTATTTTATTTTTTCTTGTTTTTTGTTCTTGTGAATTTCCGAGTTATCTGTTTATCTTATTCGATGGAATAAAATATGGAATAATTTAAATATCACTTAAAAATATTGTTCTCCCAAGCTATCCTTAATTTCTCTTCTTTTCTAACAGATGATAGTTTGAATTTTTTTCTGCAACAATGTACTGTTTCAAGATTCTGCTAAAATATTTTAAACTTCAAGCATAGAAAGCGGAAAATAATTTCAAAAGAAGCAAAATTTTAAAGTGTGTGAAGCTTATCTTGAAATTACTCGATGCTACTCCAGGTAATGTCATATTTCCCTCAATTTGTTGAAGCATTTGATCGGGATGAATAGCGTTCATTATGGAAATATCATGCGATGGTTCCCTTTTCTTTTCTTCATTGGCTACATAGAAATGACGATTTTTGTTAAGAATCTGTTCTGTTGTATAATTATTAGTTAACAGTTGACGATACTCGTTATTGGATGGTGGTGATAGTGATGACGATGATGGTGATAATGATAATGTTGGTCTTAGTGATAACTCTGGTACATCCTTATACTCAGGATTTTTCATTTCTATTGGGATCAGATCTGAAAAGATAATAGAAAAGTTTTAGTATAATAATTAAAATGTTTGACAGTTAAAATTATTAACCTATTTATATATTTCTCATTTCCAAAAAGAGAAAAAAAAATTTGTTGGAATTTTTTTGAACTTTCAAACCATGAAAAAGTTACGCTAATATTTTTTACCTTATATTAAGAGAGGGAAACTAGTAGTTGTGATATTGCGCCATGTTTTTGCGACTAAAGAAAAAAATTATAAATTTAAAATAGAAAATTAATTAGCCCTATTCTAAAGAGAAAAGCTAGAAAAATTTCCTATGATAAAAAAATAGAACTTCCATGCACAGGAAAAATAATTCTCGTCTAATAGTTTCGTCATGTCATTTATGTTTGTTGAAAAAGCACCCAAAAATTTGTAAAGAAAGAAGACATGCATGTATGAGTCGTCTGTGGAATATTCCGTGAGGAGGTAAGCCTAATAATTATGATATACGTAGTTATCAAATGATATATAATAAAGCGTAAAGTTATCTAGTCGAATTATTGCAATATTTAAGAGAGAAAAAAAAGTTTTACTTCTCTCTTTTAATTTCGAAAAAAAAATGAGAAAGGTTTAGTTTCATTGCTTTTTATTGCTCGACTGACTAATCAATTAAATACACTTCTTGGGTATTGTTTTGTTCGGTTCAAATCATGTAACACTCATTGACACTATATAATTAATCAATTTATTTATCTACCTCATATATTATTAAATTATTTTTGCTTATTGTTCGTTATGTGCCAACCTTTCGATGATGGATCACTAGCAATTATATTTGCGTCATCCTCCAAATGTACCAAATCAAAAGTGAAATCAGCTTCATTTTCACTTGTGTAATCGTAATCAATCAATGGATTATGTTCTATCAGAGTCGCATTTACAAGCGGCATATTACCTCAAATTTCTTTCCCCAATAAGCATTACTACATTATAATGTACTATTTATTATTATTATTATTATTATTATTATTATTATTATTATTATTATTATTATTATTATTGTTGTTATTATTATTAATTATTATTATTAATTATTATTACTATTATTATATTATCATTATTATTATTATTTATTATTATTGTTATTATTATTAATTATTATTATTATTTATTAATGTTATTTATTATTATTAATTATTATATTATTATTATTATTCATTAATTATTGTTATTATTATTATTTATTAATAATATTTATTACTTATTATTAATTATTGTTATTAATTATTATTATTATTGTTATATTATTATTATTTATTATTATTATTATTATTAATTATTATTATTATTATTTATTAATATTATTTATTATTATTATTATTATTATTATTATTAATTATTATTATTTATTAATATTATTTATTATTATTTATTAATATTATTTATTATTTATTATTATTATTAATTATTATTATTTATTAATATTATTTATTATTTATTATTATTATTAATTATTATTATTATTATTTATTAATATTATTTATTATTTATTAATATTATTTATTATTATTATTATTATTAATTATTATTATTTATTAATATTATTTATTATTATTTATTAATATTATTTATTATTATTTATTATTATTATTAATTATTATTATTTATTAATATTATTTATTATTTATTATTATTATTAATTATTATTATTATATTACTATAATTATTATTTATTATTATTAATTATTATTATTATAGTTATTATTATTTATTATTTATTATTATTATTATATTATTATAATTATTATTATTCATTATTTATTATATTATTATTATTATTATTATTATTATTATTATTATTACTAACATTATTATTATTAAATATTACAATTATTGCTGCTATTTTACCATGCAATATAACAATTATATTATTATGCTAATACTGATTACCTTGCAATGGAATACGTCGATCACGTAAATGATTACAAAAATTTTGCGAACATATGCAATGTTTTCCTTTTCCATCTCGTTCCATCCAACATTTTGCATCATTAATTTTGTTTTGTTTACGGTAATGATTCGGAAGATTTAATAAGCAAAATGCTGTTGTCAATAACATATCTTCGCCTTCATCTAATTTGAAGTTAAAAAAATTGAAGACTTATCTTGAATTTCACAAAGAAAAAATATTATAATTAATTAAGTTACCACAAGCGGAAGCTATTTCCCTGTTATCTCATTTAAGTAAGAGTAACAGTAAAACTAGTGATAATTAGGACAATAAAGCTTACACAACAAGCAGGCTTCACCCGTACAATTCTTCGACTTAACACACCGTTCGTTGGACGGTCCGGTGTCATAGCAGTCGTAGCACAGCAGCGACTGTGAGCAGCGGTTCAGCAGCAGAGCGACCAGACCCAGACGTTCCATTGCCATCTGCTGCGGTACCGCGGTCCTCCTCTACGCTCGCTCCGCCATCCGGCAACTCCGTCTCTCCTCTTTTAGGGATAAGAAACACATCATTAGAAAGCATAGAAAGCACCACACATGCACACACACACGCAGACAATGTCTTTATTTATTTATTTATTATCGTTGTTCCTTTTCGTTTAATTCCCTCAAATAAAAAAAAAAGAAATTTAAAAAGACGAAAGAGACAAGAATTGGCGAAGTGCAACTCAAATGCATTGCAAACACACTTCATACTGTCTAGAAAAGTAAGGGATTATTCAATAAAGATTGTATTCGTAAGCGATTTCTTTCTTTCTTTCTACAACATTTGCCGTTGTAAATTTATTCAATAATATTGGGCGCTTTCTAGGAATTTGAAATTTTATTGATACAAAGAGAAGCATAGAGGATTTATGCAGTGATTTAAATACTTCTATGTGATGCAAAAGTTAAATTTATTGGAGAAAATGTATGTTTTGCGTAAATAATTAAATTTCATGGAAATCGAAACGTCATATATGCATTTGCATCAATAGTTGTTTATTCAAAGAGAAAATAAGGAAATGACCAATAAGTATAAGAAATATCCTTTTTCATGTTTCCTTGTTGAATTGTATGTTGTTTTCCCTGAAGAAATTATACGATAATCTAAAGTTAGGGAAACTATTGGAATTATGAAAGCAAAAATTCAAATAATTAACTCCAAAATAGCAATCAAAATAGGAAATGTTAGGATCCGTAATAGTGGAATCAATGAAAAAGTGAACTTTAAAAATTAACAAAAACTGAAAGAAGCAAAAAATGGAACAGTGAGCAAATTAGTTAATAAATTAATTAAAATAAAATAAGCATAAGAATCTAGGTAAAATAACATCAAGAAATAATGCCAAGCATGAAATCAGTGAAAACCTAAACAACTAAAATATTACAAAGCAATCAATAATTATTGAATTTCAATTTACTTTCACTATGATGAAAAAGTAAAATGTTTCATGCATTTATAATTCAAATTTTTTAATTTAATTTTTTTTAATTTTTAAATTTTTAATTTTAATTTAAATAAATAATTGCTTATTTATAATTTAAATTTGTAATTTAAATGATAAATAAGCAAAAAAAAAAAAGAGATAAAATACATAAAGCAACAAATTACTAAAATTTTGTTGAAAAATTATCAAATTAGCCATTGATATTATAAAATATTTCCTTTCACAGATAATTTAATCTTCTTGCAAATATGTGTTAATTTAATTCAACATAACAAAACATTGTATTTTTATTTTTTAATTAACAAATAATGATAAATTTATCAATCATTAGACAATCTATTCCAAACATTTCTCGACCATTTTAATTATTTCAACTACTCTGTTTAAATTAAAAATTTGAATGAAGAAAGAAATGCTAAGAATTCTTAAATTTCAATCGTATTTGAACACTAACGACAATTCCTTTAATTCATTAGTTGTGAATTTAGCTATGAATCTAACAATTTTATCATTGTTAATTAATTAAAGGAAAAAAAAAAAAATTCGTTCAAATATAATGCATAAAAAATGAGAGAAAATCTTTGAAAAAAAAACTATTTTTTTTAAAAAAAAAAAGAAACTTTTGTGAAAAATGAAACAATCCATTAAACTAGGAAATTAATTCATTGTATGCAAAAATTTATTAAACTAAAAATTAGTTCTTGCATAACATACTGAGTTCGAAAATTAATGACACATAATGGATTGAAAAATTGATGTTAATGACACTTATTAAAAATTTAAAAATACATTTTAATAAAACATATGAAGTTGAGAATTACTTTTTTATAATACTAATGGCATTTATTGAATTGAAAAAAAAAAGGAAATTCCAACGGTAGCCATTAAACAGCAAAATAATTGACAAATATATTACAATTTGTCGCCAGTCATTAAATCTTACAGTCAATATTTTCTCTAAATATAAAATTGATGGCATTTGAAGTATTTTTTTTTTTTTAGAAAAAAATTTTGTAAAAGAAATTTGACATATTTTAAAAAATTAAATTTAACAAAAATACGAATAGCAATCATCCATTGTTGATATATTTTTTTTTTTTTTTTTTTTTTTTACTGTGCTTTAAAAAAAAAAACACAAAAAATTGCTGTAATGAAAAGAATTAAAATTAGACTAAAAAAATGTTTGCTAATTATAAAAATAGTTATTTGCTGAATTCGTCTCTTTTCCTGTTGCTCAATTAGAAATTATTTGTTTGTTTTTTTTTTTTTTTTATTTTCTCTTTTTATTTACTGATTACAAAGTTTTTTTTTTCTAACTTTTTCTAGAATTTAAATCTTGAATTTATATTCATACTAGAATGTAATTAATTTTGAGAAATTTTTTTGCAAGAAAAAGAATGATGTGACAAATTCGAAATTTAAATAATCTTAGCAAATACAGTCGAGAAAAAAGTGCAAAATTCAAAAAAAAAAAAAAAAAAATCTCAGAAATAAAACGATTGCTTAAACCATGCAATTCACACTTAAAATTCAAAATCAACGAACGCAATTAGAAATTGCAAATGACAATAAAGTTGAAATTGAAAGAAAAAAAATCAATCATTTCAATGTAATCAACAAAAATAAAAGAAATTCTGACATTTCTTAATTTGAGGAAATTAAATTAATATTTTATACAAAAATAAAACTTCAAATAATTAAATTTCTCATCTAACTAACCTGACAATAAGTTAAAAATTCAATTCTATATGATTGATATTTTCACATATGTACAAATTTCACAAAAGTTATTTTTCAAAACTAAAATATATGATTTCAATTATTTCGCATTTGTTTGTAAATTTCATCCTTCCTTCCAATAAAATATTTCATTTAATATTAAAATCGATCAAAATAATTAAAGTGGAAAGGTCAAAGAATTTTTGAAAATTTTAAACTAAAAAGCTATTATAAATGAAGAGAAATTCTATTTCAAATTATATGAATTTTGGTAATAATTATATTTGAAATAAAAAAATGATGCGAATGACACAAAGCAATGAATGTGAGCAGTTGGCTTTCTGTGAAATGATTCACTCACTCACTCACTCACTTCCTTCTACTCATTTCATAAACAAACAAAACAGACGATGAAAATGAAACGGTTGAAATTGAAATAAATATGTAACGAGTGGTTGCCGCTTACACTATAAATCGATTTCTTTCATAAAAACAAAACTCTGTTTATTCTCTCTCTCTCTCTCTCTCTCCCTCTCTCTCTCTCTTCTTTCCAGATTGATGCTTTGTATGATAGAAAAGATAATTTTATTTATATAAATTAGAAAGGAAAGATGATAATTGATTCCTTGAAAAGGGCTGTATTTTTTTTCCTGCGGAAAATCTTCAAGTGTTTGCACTTTGAGTTAGTTTGTCATGATGATGATAACGATACCGATGATGATGATAATGATGATGATGATGATGGTGATAGTGATGATGATGGTGATAGTGGTGATGATGATGATAGTGATGATGATGATGGCAGTGTTGATAATTTCTATAATTTTAAATTATATTTTTCTAATAATTTAAAATTAAATGAAAAACTGTCCCTTGTAAAGCAATAATGATGCTAATAATATTGATAACTTTTAAAATTCTTTCAAAACCGCTTCATACAACGAACAAAAATTAAGTGATAGCTGTTATCAGATCAATTAGAATTGAAGAAATTGTTGAGAGTATAATTTATTTCATTACTACTACTAATTTGCATATAGATAGATTACAATACGTACGTATATTTGAATATCAATATTGATCAAAACAACGAGAATTTTCGAAACAAAATGTGAATGCTTTGTTTTTACTACTAAAAAGATTATTTGGATCAATAAATTAGTTAATTACTTCTTAGCAGATATTACTCTAAGTTAACAATAAGTTGAAATACTTTAGCAGCTATGCTTCTACCAGCACTTCTCACAGTGCATGAATTGTTGGTTGACTTTGATGACACAACAAGTTATCCGTTACTTTGGTAACAGAGATGAAAAGGATGAAAAACAATTTTGAAATGAATTCTCTCTCTCTTTTGAAATAACTAACAAACTGGTCGATCTACTATTTCTATTCATTTCTTATCATATTTTCCTTTTGAATATATCTCACATTTTTAGTACTTTAATTGCTTCACTAAAACTATGAAATAATTGTTTCTCATTTCTTTTTTTTAAATATTTCTCAATCCATCTGCTGTTTTCGATATTTTCGACAGTGTTTAAACGACGAAGTAAAATATTTAAAGTGAATGAAGAATTAATATCTATTATTAGCATACATTCATAATGATTAATAATAACAACAATAACAATAATAATAATAATAATAATAATAATAATAATAATAATAACAGTAGTAATAATACCAATAACAATACTAATACCAATAATAATAATAATAATAATAATACCAATAATAGTAATAATAATAATATTATTGGTATTATTACTACTTTTCCGTTAGTGGAGCATTGAAGAATACCTCTCTTTTGTCAAATAAGGTAAAAAAAAAAAATCAAATTGCCAATATTACTGTGAAATGATAATGATTTTGATAATTATTCATAATTTCGTACCATTTCACTTCATTTTTTCGAGAAAACTGTAGTTTTGATCTGTCATCGTATCAATAAAATCGATATTCAAGTACCAATTTTCAAAATAAACTGTTATTTTGCTTTTATTAGTTCGTTAAATTATTAATAATCAATGCTAAACTAAGAGGAAAGGAAAAGAAGGGAAAATTATTACAAATAGAATTTAAGACTAAAAATAAATTTGCATAAATCAGTAGCAAATAAAATCTTCTATTATCTTCTTATAGTAATTTCAGTATTCTTTAACTTTATATTATTGATAAGTAATTGGCAAAAAAAGAGAGGATTAGCATGCTAGCATCGCAATTATAATTGTTATCACTTTTTGATATTAATGACAATAGTGATAAAAGGTCAGATATCATCATCTATAATAAGCGAACTTTTATAAACGTTATCAAATTTCAAAAATTATTTGCTAAATTTTAAAATTTAAAAAATTTCCTACAAATTCATTTCTTATTCAGTGAAATTTTTGCTGGAAAATGAAAAAAAGTAAGCTTTCTACTGATTTTTAAATTGATAATTTTTTGATATCTTTGTTCATTCATCAGTAATCAACTGACAAAAGGGACAAAGAGTAAACTTCTAAATTGATTTTACCGATTTTTTTTTTCGATTTACTTTATTGAAAAGGTAAAGTAATCTTAGGTTTTTACATTTGCTATCCATTATTCAATTATTAGATTATTTGTTGTTTTCAATATTTGATTTAAGGCATTTGCAACCATTTTATATGGCATTTCGTGTCGCAGAAAAGTAAATTAAATGATTTAATTCAATTAAAATAACAAACTTTTTAATATAATTATTTAGCATTAAAGGAGCGATGCAGAAATTAGTTGGTTATTGGGTGTATAATTGAATAAAAAATTGAAAAAGTTAATAGGAAAAGTTTAAAGGACTAAGTGTCATATCAAATATGAAAGAGCAATATCCATTGTTTTATGCAATAAATCAAATAATTCATTTTATTTCTGAACAGCTTTAGCAATCACAATTTTCTGCACTGTGGCGCAATTGTCGTTTCAAATTTTGAGTTTGATTCCAATTCTGAATTTTATCAAATCAAATTTTGTCCATGCAACGTTTTTTTTAGAATTTAACTACGTTGTTCTGAAGTTAATCATTTCTTTTCATTTTTGTCCTATGGTCACTTCTTCTGTTAATGAGAATCGGCTTGACAAAAAGCGCAAATTATTTTCCAAGTTGAGTTTTTCTTTTTTTTTTTTTTTCCCAAATTTAAGAGTAAATATTAAAGGTAATGAACTTGTTCCAAGTAAGAAATAGTTTCATTCACAATAAACAAATACAATTTGAAGTATACCACCATAATTTTCTCTCGGAAAAAGAGCCATTAATTAGCATAATTCATTCAAATTTCATCAAAATTGCAACTTTATCAGCTTTTAGTAATTAATTTGCATAATTCAATTTATCGAATAAAACTATGAAAAGTTTAAAGTTATTTTTGTGAAACATTGAAAGCTAAACAAAAATGATATTGGCTCTGAAACAGAGAAAATTTTTTACGACACATTTAAAATTTTGTATTCTTTTGTGATGAATTTCATTCGGTGATTATCTGAAAAGAAAAAAACACATAAAAAATATTAAAAGAAATGTCACACTATTATATTTTTAATATTATATTATTACTATTTTTATTACATAGATGATATTTAAAAAATTTTTCTGCCAACATTTGAATTGATTAGAATATTTTATTTAAAGTTTAAAAGTGCTGATTGCTGCATAAAAGAATTTATATTCATCCATGCAACTATAAAACAAAAAATATTTTTTTTTTTTTAAAATAAAAAGATTATTAAGCAATATTTTGATAAAACATTTAAAAAAATTTTGAAAGAAATCAAAAAATATCAAATCAAAAATAAAAACTAAATTGCACATTTACTTAGCTGACAGTAAGACTTAAACAATCTCTGTTCCTTCCCATATGTCATACTGAAATATGCGAACTCTCAGCTATACCTTTCTCTCATCTGTTAATTACTTCCTGGTTTACTCTCGTTTTTACCTAAAAATTTCATACAAATGTATATTTGTTGACCTTTTGCCGAAATGGAGAAACTCGCGGTCAAATGCGCCGCTGTTACTGTCACTTCTTTTGTTTAAATTGATCATATTGTGCTTAGATGGCACCTCTCGTTTGCCGAAATGGAGAAACTCGCGGTCAAATGCGCCTTTGTCACTGTCACTTCTTTTGTTTAAATTGATCATATTGTGCTTAGATGGCACCTCTCGTTTGCCGAAATGGAGAAACTCGCGGTCAAATGCGCCGTTGTCACTGTCACTTCTTTTGTTTAAATTGATCATATTGTGCTTAGATGGCACCTCTCGTTTGCCGAAATGGAGAAACTCGCGGTCAAATGCGCCTTTGTCACTGTCACTTCTTTTGTTTAAATTGATCATATTGTGCTTAGATGGCACCTCTCGTTTGCCGAAATGGAGAAACTCGCGGTCAAATGCGCCGTTGTCACTGTCACTTCTTTTGTTTAAATTGATCATATTGCGCATAGATGGCACCGCTCGTTTTTCGAAATTCATGGAATCTCTTGTCAATGGATCGTTGTAATTGGCTGTAAAATTTAAATAGCAAATTATTAATTTTCTTCTTTTTTTTTTTTTTAGTAAATCAAAGTATGCATTTTTCATCATCATAAAACGACAAAACAGTTGACATTTTAGATGAAGATTGATTAGCCTAAATTAATTAAAATTTATAGCTTATGTAATGATAACAAATTAATTCCCTTATCTATTCCTTCCAACTATTTTTGATTATAATAATTAATGAATTAATTAATTAGAATGCGATAAAAAATTTTATTTTAAAAAAGTACGGTAGAATAATCATTTAGTATTTTTCAAATTTCATTTTGCTCAGTTTCATTTTACATTTTTTTTTTTTTTTCATTTTACTCAGCTAGTTTCTTTTTTAATAAAAAAAAAAAAGCTATATTACCATAATATTCTGATTGAACAATGGCAGCAGCTAATGAAATGAGTATAAGAATTCTCATAGTTTCCATTGTTAGTTACCCTTCTCACCTGAAATGAAAAAAAAAAAAAACAAACACAAAATTATATTAATCGATCGAAATATATACCACAATGGTCACCATCTTCAGTGTGATATGGTATATGATTGCGATTCGTTATTCGATCAGAAGCAACATCAAGAATTTCACAATCGTTTTCTATCAACCAAATGGTTTCGTGTGCAAAGCTCACAGCTAAATGTTTGGAAACGGTACAGCTTTCCTTTTCAGCAGATCTTTTATATGTCATATTTGAATTTAAAATTGAAATTTCCACTGGAAATGTCAGTTTATGCTTTCTGCATACCCGTCTTCATAACAGTCATCAGTAATGCTTTGAATTTAAACCACATTTTAAATTTTTATGGCTACAGATTAATCAGTCTTACACTGTTTTAAGGGCTGCTTTTTGCATTGTTGAACAATTCGAAGGGAATTATAGTCACATATTTTGCATTACGCAAACATCGAAATGTACATTGAAAACACGTGTTGATAAGGTTTATCTCTTTCTTGTTGATAACATTTCGATATGCATCAGACTACACGTAAATCATAGATTTCTTATAAATTCAGACAGTTGGAAGTTTACTTCATCTTATATATCAATTTAAAAATTAAAAATATTCTCTTCTCATTTGATTCATCGTATCAGTTTAGTGCATATTTCTGTTATTCTTTCCTCATCATGGCATATTTATAGATTATTTTGGAATGCATCAATAAAGAATTAGGCTATACACCAGATTTAGCGCAAGTTTGGACATCGGATGGTAGAAGACAAGCTTGGGTATACGTTACAGCTTCAGACAAATATTACTTTATTGGTGCTGTAGCACTGGTTGAAAAGATTTCCAGGAAACAACTGCAGTATGCAGAAGTATATCCTTTTCGTGTTATCAGTTAATTTTAATTTCATTCCATTTCTATCCACAAGTAAAAAGTCTTACTTGATATCTTTCTTTTGAGAGAAAAATCTGTAATTTAAGTGAATGCATAATGTGTTGTCTTGACAATATTTGTGTGTACACAGCCTAACATTAATTATAATTTGCATTTAATTTCAAGGAAAACAGTGCAGCAAATAATGATATAATCCCAACAAGCAACAATGTATACATGGGTGTTAATCGAATCTGGGTACATCAAACTTTAAGACGTAGAGGCATTGCAGCACTTTTGTTGGATCATGCACGATCGTATTTCGTCAGTTCTGATTCTGTGCCACGTGAAATGATTGCATTTAGTAGTCTAACAGATAGTGGTTTAGCGTTTGCTAGAAATTATATTTCTGGAGGAAAAGTCCTTCTTTACAATTTGAATCCTGAGACTTGTCACTAATCTCGATACTTCTGAAGTATAATTTAATCTATCCCCAATTTTCCACTCTCATTATTTTAAACAGAATTTTAGATCAACATTGCTATACTCCCCGAATTTTCACTATTTTTTCATTCTTTGATTCAAATAATAGAATGAAATTTTGTTTATAAATTTGATAGAAATTCCATTTGCCACTATTCTTGAATTTTGCACTGCATGGATTTAAAAAGGGCAATATTTTCGAACATCCCTTTTCTTTTTGTCTTTGTAACATTCGTGTTTAATAAAAAACTACCAACCAGATTTTAGTAACAGTTTTTCAGTGATGCATTAGATTTGTTTTTTTTATAAGTGAGAAGCAAAGGAAGGAAATCCTCTCCATATTTATTAGTAGCATTTGCTGAGGTAACAAAGCCACACTTAGGATTGTAATTTATTTCGAAAATTTTCCACTCTCCTTTAAGTGTTTGCACTTTGAGTTAGTTTGTCATGATGATGATAACGATACCGATGATGATGATGATGATGGTGATAGTGATGATGATGATGGCAGTGTTGATAATTTCTATAATTTTAAATTATATTTTTCTATAATTTAAAATTAAATGAAAAACTGTCCCTTGTAAAGCAATAATGATGCTAATAATATTGATAACTTTTAAAATTCTTTCAAAACCGCTTCATACAACGAACAAAAATTAAGTGATAGCTGTTATCAGATCAATTAGAATTGAAGAAATTGTTGAGAGTATAATTTATTTCATTACTACTACTAATTTGCATATAGACAGATTACAATACGTACGTATATTTGAATATCAATATTGATCAAAACAACGAGAATTTTCGAAACAAAATGTGAATGCTTTGTTTTTTCTACTAAAAAGATTATTTGGATCAATAAATTAGTTAATTACTTCTTAGCAGATATTACTCTAAGTTAACAATAAGTTGAAATACTTTAGCAGCTATGCTTCTACCGGCACTTCTCACAGTGCATGAATTGTTGGTTGACTTTGATGACACAACAAGTTATCCGTTACTTTGGTAACAGAGATGAAAAGGATGAAAAACAATTTTGAAATGAATTCTCTCTCTCTTTTGAAATAACTAACAAACTGATCGATCTACTATTTCTATTCATTTCTTATCATATTTTCCTTTTGAATATATCTCACATTTTTAGTACTTTAATTGCTTCATTAAAACTATGAAATAATTGTTTCTCATTTCTTTTTTTTAAATATTTCTCAATCCATCTGCTGTTTTCGATATTTTCGACAGTGTTTAAACGACGAAGTAAAATATTTAAAGTGAATGAAGAATTAATATCTATTATTAGCATACATTCATAATGATTAATAATAACAACAATAACAATAATAATAATAATAACAGTAGTAATAATACCAATAATAATACTAATACCAATAATAATAATAATAATAATAATAATAATAATAATAATAATAATAATAATAATAATAATAATAATGATAATACAAATAATAGTAATAATAATAATAATATTATTGGTATTATTACTACTTTTCCGTTAGTGGAGCATTGAAGAATACCTCTCTTTTGTCAAATAAGGTAAAAAAAAAAAATCAAATTGCCAATATTACTGTGAAATGATAATGATTTTGATAATTATTCATAATTTCGTACCATTTCACTTCATTTTTTCGAGAAAACTGTAGTTTTGATCTGTCATCGTATCAATAAAATCGATATTCAAGTACCAATTTTCAAAATAAACTGTTATTTTGCTTTTATTAGTTCGTTAAATTATTAATAATCAATGCTAAACTAAGAGGAAAGGAAAAGAAGGGAAAATTATTACAAATAGAATTTAAGACTAAAAATAAATTTGCATAAATCAGTAGCAAATAAAATCTTCTATTATCTTCTTATAGTAATTTCAGTATTCTTTAACTTTATATTATTGATAAGTAATTGGCAAAAAAAGAGAGGATTAGCATGCTAGCATCGCAATTATAATTGTTATCACTTTTTGATATTAATGCCAATAGTGATAAAAGGTCAGATATCATCATCTATAATAAGTGAACTTTTATAAACGTTATCAAATTTCAAAAATTATTTGCTAAATTTTAAAATTTAAAAAATTTCCTACAAATTCATTTCTTATTCAGTGAAATTTTTGCTGGAAAATGAAAAAAAGTAAGCTTTCTACTGATTTTTAAATTGATAATTTTTTGATATCTTTGTTCATTCATCAGTAATGAACTGACAAAAGGGACAAAGAGTAAACTTCTAAATTGATTTTACCGATTTTTTTTTTCGATTTACTTTATTGAAAAGGTAAAGTAATCTTAGGTTTTTACATTTGCTATCCATTATTCAATTATTAGAATATTTGTTGTTTTCAATATTTGATTTAAGGCATTTGCAACCATTTTATATGGCATTTCGTGTCGCAGAAAAGTAAATTAAATGATTTAATTCAATTAAAATAACAAAATTTTTAATATAATTATTTAGCATTAATTAAAATTTGAAATTAGAGGAGCGATGCAGAAATTAGTTGGTTATTGGGTGTATAATTGAATAAAAAATTGAAAAAGTTAATAGGAAAAGTTTAAAGGACTAAGTGTCATATCAAATATGAAAGAGCAATATCCATTGTTTTATGCAATAAATCAAATAATTCATTTTATTTCTGAACAGCTTTAGCAATCACAATTTTCTGCATTGTGGCGCAATTGTCGTTTCAAATTTTGAGTTTGATTCCAATTCTGTGATTCCAATTCTGAATTTTATCAAATCAAATTTTGTCCATGCAACGTTTTTTTTAGAATTTAACTACGTTGTTCTGAAGTTAATCATTTCTTTTCATTTTTGTCCTATGGTCACTTCTTCTGTTAATGAGAATCGGCTTGACAAGAAGCGCAAATTATTTTCCAAGTTGAGTTTTTCTTTTTTTTTTTTTTTTTTCCAAATTTAAGAGTAAATATTAAAGGTAATGAACTTGTTCCAAGTAAGAAATAGTTTCATTCACAATAAACAAATACAATTTGAAGTATACCACCATAATTTTCTCTCGGAAAAAGAGCCATTAATTAGCATAATTCATTCAAATTTCATCAAAATTGCAACTTTATCAGCTTTTAGTAATTAATTTGCATAATTCAATTTATCGAATAAAACTATGAAAAGTTTAAAGTTATTTTTGTGAAACATTGAAAGCTAAACAAAAATGATATTGGCTCTGAAACAGAGAAAATTTTTTACGACACATTTAAAATTTTGTATTCTTTTGTGATGAATTTCATTCGGTGATTATCTGAAAAGAAAAAAACACATAAAAAATATTAAAAGAAATGTCACACTATTATATTTTTAATATTATATTATTACTATTTTTATTACATAGATGATATTTAAAAAATTTTTCTGCCAACATTTGAATTGATTAGAATATTTTATTTAAAGTTTAAAAGTGCTGATTGCTGCATAAAAGAATTTATATTCATCCATGCAACTATAAAACAAAAAATATTTTTTTTTTTTTTAAAATAAAAAGATTATTAAGCAATATTTTGATAAAACATTTAAAAAAATTTTGAAAGAAATCAAAAAATATCAAATCAAAAATAAAAACTAAATTGCACATTTACTTAGCTGACAGTAAGACTTAAACAATCTCTGTTCCTTTCCATATGTCATACTGAAATATGCGAACTCTCAGCTATACCTTTCTCTCATCTGTTAATTACTTCCTGGTTTACTCTTGTTTTTACCTAAAAATTTCATACAAATGTATATTTGTTGACCTTTTGCCGAAATGGAGAAACTCGCGGTCAAATGCGCCGCTGTTACTGTCACTTCTTTTGTTTAAATTGATCATATTGTGCTTCGATGGCACCTCTCGTTTGCCGAAATGAAGAAACTCGCGGTCAAATGCGCCGTTGTCACTGTCACTTCTTTTGTTTAAATTGATCATATTGTGCTTAGATGGCACCTCTCGTTTGCCGAAATGGAGAAACTCGCGGTCAAATGCGCCGTTGTCACTGTCACTTCTTTTGTTTAAATTGATCATATTGCGCATAGATGGCACCGCTCGTTTTTCGAAATTCATGGAATCTCTTGTCAATGGATCGTTGTAATTGGCTGTAAAATTTAAATAGCAAATTATTAATTTTCTTTTTTTTTTTTTTTTTTTTTTTAGTAAATCAAAGTATGCATTTTTCATCATCATAAAACGACAAAACAGTTGACATTTTAGATGAAGATTGATTAGCCTAAATTAATTAAAATTTATAGCTTATGTAATGATAACAAATTAATTCCCTTATCTATTCCTTCCAACTATTTTTGATTATAATAATTAATGAATTAATTAATTAGAATGCGATAAAAAATTTTATTTTAAAAAAGTACGATAGAATAATCATTTAGTATTTTTCAAATTTCATTTTGCTCAGTTTCATTTTACATTTTTTTTTTTTTTTTTCATTTTACTCAGCTAGTTTCTTTTTTAATAAAAAAAAAAAAGCTATATTACCATAATATTCTGATTGAACAATGGCAGCAGCTAATGAAATGAGTATAAGAATTCTCATAGTTTCCATTGTTAGTTACCCTTCTCACCTGAAATGAAAAAAAAAAAAAAACACAAAATTATATTAATCGATCGAAATATATACCACAATGGTCACCATCTTCAGTGTGATATGGTATATGATTGCGATTCGTTATTCGATCAGAAGCAACATCAAGAATTTCACAATCGTTTTCTATCAACCAAATGGTTTCGTGTGCAAAGCTCACAGCTAAATGTTTGGAAACGGTACAGCTTTCCTTTTCAGCAGATCTTTTATATGTCATATTTGAATTTAAAATTGAAATTTCCACTGGAAATGTCAGTTTATGCTTTCTGCATACCCGTCTTCATAACAGTCATCAGTAATGCTTTGAATTTAAACCACATTTTAAATTTTTATGGCTACAGATTAATCAGTCTTACACTGTTTTAAGGGCTGCTTTTTGCATTGTTGAACAATTCGAAGGGAATTATAGTCACATATTTTGCATTACGCAAACATCGAAATGTACATTGAAAACACGTGTTGATAAGGTTTATCTCTTTCTTGTTGATAACATTTCGATATGCATCAGACTACACGTAAATCATAGATTTCTTATAAATTCAGACAGTTGGAAGTTTACTTCATCTTATATATCAATTTAAAAATTAAAAATATTCTCTTCTCATTTGATTCATCGTATCAGTTTAGTGCATATTTCTGTTATTCTTTCCTCATCATGGCATATTTATAGATTATTTTGGAATGCATCAATAAAGAATTAGGCTATACACCAGATTTAGCGCAAGTTTGGACATCGGATGGTAGAAGACAAGCTTGGGTATACGTTACAGCTTCAGACAAATATTACTTTATTGGTGCTGTAGCACTGGTTGAAAAGATTTCCAGGAAACAACTGCAGTATGCAGAAGTATATCCTTTTCGTGTTATCAGTTAATTTTAATTTCATTCCATTTCTATCCACAAGTAAAAAGTCTTACTTGATATCTTTCTTTTGAGAGAAAAATCTGTAATTTAAGTGAATGCATAATGTGTTGTCTTGACAATATTTGTGTGTACACAGCCTAACATTAATTATAATTTGCATTTAATTTCAAGGAAAACAGTGCAGCAAATAATGATATAATCCCAACAAGCAACAATGTATACATGGGTGTTAATCGAATCTGGGTACATCAAACTTTAAGACGTAGAGGCATTGCAGCACTTTTGTTGGATCATGCACGATCGTATTTCGTCAGTTCTGATTCTGTGCCACGTGAAATGATTGCATTTAGTAGTCTAACAGATAGTGGTTTAGCGTTTGCTAGAAATTATATTTCTGGAGGAAAAGTCCTTCTTTACAATTTGAATCCTGAGACTTGTCACTAATCTCGATACTTCTGAAGTATAATTTAATCTATCCCCAATTTTCCACTCTCATTATTTTAAACAGAATTTTAGATCAACATTGCTATACTCCCCGAATTTTCACTATTTTTTCATTCTTTGATTCAAATAATAGAATGAAATTTTGTTTATAAATTTGATAGAAATTCCATTTGCCACTATTCTTGAATTTTGCACTGCATGGATTTAAAAAGGGCAATATTTTCGAACATCCCTTTTCTTTTTGTCTTTGTAACATTCGTGTTTAATAAAAAACTACCAACCAGATTTTAGTAACAGTTTTTCAGTGATGCATTAGATTTGTTTTTTTATAAGTGAGAAGCAAAGGAAGGAAATCCTCTCCATATTTATTAGTAGCATTTGCTGAGGTAACAAAGCCACACTTAGGATTGTAATTTATTTCGAAAATTTTCCACTCTCCTTTAAGTGTTTGCACTTTGAGTTAGTTTGTCATGATGATGATAACGATACCGATGATGATGATGATGATGGTGGTAGTGATGATGATGATGATAGTGATGATGATGATGGCAGTGTTGATAATTTCTATAATTTTAAATTATATTTTTCTATAATTTAAAATTAGATGAAAAACTGTCCCTTGTAAAGCAATAATGATGCTAATAATATTGATAACTTTTAAAATTCTTTCAAAACCGCTTCATACAACGAACAAAAATTAAGTGATAGCTGTTATCAGATCAATTAGAATTGAAGAAATTGTTGAGAGTATAATTTATTTCATTACTACTACTAATTTGCATATAGATAGATTACAATACGTACGTATATTTGAATATCAATATTGATCAAAACAACGAAACAAAATGTGAATGCTTTGTTTTTACTACTAAAAAGATTATTTGGATCAATAAATTAGTTAATTACTTCTTAGCAGATATTACTCTAAGTTAACAATAAGTTGAAATACTTTAGCAGCTATGCTTCTACCGGCACTTCTCACAGTGCATGAATTGTTGGTTGACTTTGATGACACAACAAGTTACCCGTTACTTTGGTAACAGAGATGAAAAGGATGAAAAACAATTTTGAAATGAATTCTCTCTCTCTTTTGAAATAACTAACAAACTGGTCGATCTACTATTTCTATTCATTTCTTATCATATTTTCCTTTTGAATATATCTCACATTTTTAGTACTTTAATTGCTTCATTAAAACTATGAAATAATTGTTTCTCATTTCTTTTTTTTAAATATTTCTCAATCCATCTGCTGTTTTCGATATTTTCGACAGTGTTTAAACGATGAAGTAAAATATTTAAAGTGAATGAAGAATTAATATCTATTATTAGCATACATTCATAATGATTAATAATAACAACAATAACAATAATAATAATAATAACAGTAGTAATAATACCAATCACAATACTAATACCAATAATAATAATAATAATAATAATAATAATAATAATAATGATAATACCAATAATAGTAATAATAATAATATTATTGGTATTATTACTACTTTTCCGTTAGTGGAGCATTGAAGAATACCTCTCTTTTGTCAAATAAGGTTAAAAAAAAATTCAAATTGCCAATATTACTGTGAAATGATAATGATTTTGATAATTATTCATAATTTCGTACCATTTCACTTCATTTTTTCGAGAAAACTATAGTTTTGATCTGTCATCATATCTTCGTGAAAGAAAACTATAGTTTTGATCTGTCATCGTATCTGTCGTGAAAATTATTCATTACCTGCCACATCATGATGTTCGTAATCCAGGTAAAACTACCACTAAGTTAAGGATTGTTTATGATGCTTCAGCGCACATAAAGGGAATGAAAAGTTTAAATGAAGTATTATATCGTGGATCAATTAACCTCCCAGATCTTGTGGGAGTATTATTACGCTTTAGAATGATGAAAGGGGTAATCACAGCTGACATTGAAAAGGCATTCTTACAAATACAGTTACACCTTTCAGAAAGAAATTGTACTCGCTTCCTTTGGCTAAAGGAAGTAGAAGGAAGTGTATCCAACGAGAATATAAAATGTTACCGTTTTAGAAGAATCCCGTTTGGAGTAATATCATCCCCCTTTTTACTATCTGCTACCCTGAATTATCATTTGGAAAACCACGTTAGTGAATTAGCCGCAGAAATAAAGAAAAACCTTTATGTGGACAACGTTATTGTGTCATCAAACGGAACGCAGGACGCATTAGAAAAATATGCAGAAATGAAATCCATCTTCAATGAAGCCTCAATGAATCTAAGGGAGTTCTTATCTAACGACGAAGAATTTTATGCAGAACTGCCGCAGCAAGATCGAGCAATAAGAAAAAATACGAAAATCCTCGGCATCTCATGGAATCCCTGTCAAGACGTCATTCAGATAAAATTAAATCCATGGAATGACCGAGAACTAACAAAAAGAACGATCTTACAGTTTGTTGCATCACAATATGATCCACTAGGATTTTTAGTTCCAATAATGGTAAGATTTAAAATATTTTTGCAAAATTTATGGAAAAAGAATAATTCGTGGGATCAGATATTAGATGAGCAAGACCATAAGCAATGGAAATTTCTTATTGCTGAATGGGCAACGGTCGTAAAAGACTTACCACGATTTGTAACAACTTCTACAGATTTAATTGGAATACATGTATTTACTGATGCTTCAAGCGTAGCATATTCAGCAGCAGTGTATTTAGTGAGTCAGGATATGCAAGAAACAAAGTTATCGCTCATTTTTGCAAAATCTCGCATTGCTCCTATTAAAGGCATGACAATACCGCGTCTAGAGCTAATGGCCATACTAATCGGAACGCGAGCAGCGCAATTTGTCATAACACAGCTGGATATCGTCAATACAAGGATAATTTTATGGTCAGATTCTAAATGTGCTTTATATTGGATAAAAAACCATTCCAACCTATTACCAAGATTTGTTCAAAACCGAGTCGAGGAAATACGTAAAACGAAATTTATCTTTCGTTATATTCCATCAGAAGATAACCCTGTAGACGTGGCAACTAGAGGTCTTAATCCAAACCAACTTAGAAGTTTTACACCATGGTGGCATGGACCGTCGTGGCTAGTAAAAGGAGAAATCAGTTGGCCACAATGGGAATACGAATTTGACAACAGTGACGAACCAGAAGAAATCACTATATCAGAAGTCTCGTGAATATGCATGGATCATAACTTTCAATTTATTGATAGCAAACGTTTTAGCAAATGGCTAAGACTGTTACGAACAACAGCGTGGATCCTTAAATTCATTCGATTAACAACTAAAGGCAGATTATCATGGCTACAGTCTGTTTCAATCGAAAGAAGTCGATTTACAGCTGAAGATTACAAAGTGTCAGAATGGCTGTTAATTAGACAAGCACAATCTGAAGGAATCAATGACGACGAAATAAACAAGTGGAATTTATTCCACACCGAAGATGATAAACTATGGAGATCTACTAGCCGACTCGTGAACTCGGAACTGCCTGAAACTAGCAAATATCCTATCTATCTCCCTCGACACAACCCAATAACAGAACTCCTTATACTATACCAACATGAAAATCTGTGTCATTCAGGTATCGCCCATACACTTTCAGAATTAAGGAGTAGATTTTGGATTCCCAAAGGCAGGACTGAATAATAAACAGATGTCGAATCTGTAAACGTTGGAACTCTAGATCGTTTAAATTACCACCAATGGCAAGTCTCCCGGAAACTCGTGTCAATCGATCTAGAGCCTTCGCACATGTTGGCGTGGATTATTTTGGCCCTCTTTCAATCAAGGGCAATAGCGTGTCAACAAAAAGGTGGGTAATATTATTTACATGCTTTACAACAAGAGCCATGCATCTCGAATTAGCAGAAGACCAATCCGCAGAAACCTTTTTGCATGCTATCCGAAGATTTGTTGCGAGACGAGGGTGTCCTGAGCTAATTCTGAGTGACAGTGCCACTCAATTCCAGGCTTTCAGATCTCTTATGACACAGGTCAAAGTCTCCAACTTCTTAGCAAAGGGAAGAATGACTTGGAAAAATATTATACCAAAGGCTCCGTGGCAAGGAGGAATCTACGAGAGATTAATTGGGTTAACGAAAAATGCGCTAAGAAGAGCTATTGGCAGAAAATTTCTAGCAGAAAGGGAATTGGTAACATTAATTGCAGAAGTTGAAGGTATACTTAATACCCGACCACTAACTTACGCCAATTTTGACGATTGTGTCATTATACGTCCAACTGATTTTATTTTGCCTAACGCTTCGCTCCATCTACCTATAAATGAAGTTTATAGCAAGCAGGAAGAATTCACCCCTTATAGACTAGATACCAGAGAAAAACTCGTGAGACACTGGGAAAGTACCCTTAAAACTCTCAATGTTTTTTGGGAAATCTGGAGAACCGAATATTTAACTAGCCTCAGAGAACGCACGCAAAGGGAAATTACCTCATCCAAAGGAGCACAAAAAAGAACTCCAAGAAAGGGAGAGATTGTACTCTTAAATGAATCGGGAATTCCAAGAGGAATGTGGAAATTATCACGGATCAAGGACATCAAAATCGATAAAGACGGTAAAGTTAGGAACGTTCAGGTGGAAACTCCCACTGGGAAACTTCTCGATCGTCCAATAAATGTCTTATATCCTCTCGAAGTTAATCATGAAGAAATTCATCTTGAACCTAATAAGAAAGAAAATATGAAAATTCCGGAAACCGAACAGAACACTGAGGAGCTCCAGGAACCTATTGCGATGCGAACTAGGAGCAATACAAAACGACAATCTCGATTAAAGGAGGACCAAACAACTATCACCGCACCATCATCAGAAACCTGTAGAGATTTACACGATCAAAAACAGATCAATGGAAGTAAACAACCCCCACTTTCTTATGAACCCCACGCATTACCCACCTTTTCTGGTCGGGAGTGTCGTGAAAGACGAAATATTTAAATTATTATATCTAAAACTAACAAATTCCTCTTATCTGATTCCTTTTCCTCACACAACAAAAACCCTTTGTTAGCAAACCCTTCGTTAGCAAACCCTTTGTTAGCAAAACCCCTTATTTAGCAGTCTTTGTTTCACATCAGTTAAATACCCTCCGCCGGATATCTGGTCAGCTCAGTTCTGCATATAAACCATCGTCCTCCATACGGTGGTTCATTCTGCATTTGGGGTGGTTTTGATATCATTTTAATGTTTTATAATTATATCTTTCGTTATGCGTTTGTTAATCGGCGTAGCATCCGTAAAACGATAAATATAAAGCGCTATTATTTGCTTCATGTTAAATAAAGGTTTAATTACCCAAGTTTGAGGTTTCACGACAGTATCAATAAAATCGATATTCAAGTACCAATTTTCAAAATAAACTGTTATTTTGCTTTTATTAGTTCGTTAAATTATTAATAATCAATGCTAAACTAAGAGGAAAGGAAAAGAAGGGAAAATTATTACAAATAGAATTTAAGATTAAAAATAAATTTGCATAAATCAGTAGCAAATAAAATCTTCTATTATCTTCTTATAGTAATTTCAGTATTCTTTAACTTTATATTATTGATAAGTAATTGGCAAAAAAAGAGAGGATTAGCATGCTAGCATCGCAATTATAATTGTTATCACTTTTTGATATTAATGCCAATAGTGATAAAAGGTCAGATATCATCATCTATAATAAGTGAACTTTTATAAACGTTATCAAATTTCAAAAATTATTTGCTAAATTTTAAAATTTAAAAAATTTCCTACAAATTCATTTCTTATTCAGTGAAATTTTTGCTGGAAAATGAAAAAAAGTAAGCTTTCTACTGATTTTTAAATTGATAATTTTTTGATATCTTTGTTCATTCATCAGTAATCAACTGACAAAAGAGACAAAGAGTAAACTTCTAAATTGATTTTACCGATTTTTTTTTTCGATTTACTTTATTGAAAAGGTAAAGTAATCTTAGGTTTTTACATTTGCTATCCATTATTCAATTATTAGATTATTTGTTGTTTTCAATATTTGATTTAAGGCATTTGCAACCATTTTATATGGCATTTCGTGTCGCAGAAAAGTAAATTAAATGATTTAATTCAATTAAAATAACAAACTTTTTAATATAATTATTTAGCATTAAAGGAGCGATGCAGAAATTAGTTGGTTATTGGGTGTATAATTGAATAAAAAATTGAAAAAGTTAATAGGAAAAGTTTAAAGGACTAAGTGTCATATCAAATATGAAAGAGCAATATCCATTGTTTTATGCAATAAATCAAATAATTCATTTTATTTCTGAACAGCTTTAGCAATCACAATTTTCTGCACTGTGGCGCAATTGTCGTTTCAAATTTTGAGTTTGATTCCAATTCTGAATTTTATCAAATCAAATTTTGTCCATGCAACGTTTTTTTTAGAATTTAACTACGTTGTTCTGAAGTTAATCATTTCTTTTCATTTTTGTCCTATGGTCACTTCTTCTGTTAATGAGAATCGGCTTGACAAAAAGCGCAAATTATTTTCCAAGTTGAGTTTTTCTTTTTTTTTTTTTTTTTCCCAAATTTAAGAGTAAATATTAAAGGTAATGAACTTGTTCCAAGTAAGAAATAATTTCATTCACAATAAACAAATACAATTTGAAGTATACCACCATAATTTTCTCTCGGAAAAAGAGCCATTAATTAGCATAATTCATTCAAATTTCATCAAAATTGCAACTTTATCAGCTTTTAGTAATTAATTTGCATAATTCAATTTATCGAATAAAACTATGAAAAGTTTAAAGTTATTTTTGTGAAACATTGAAAGCTAAACAAAAATGATATTGGCTCTGAAACAGAGAAAATTTTTTACGACACATTTAAAATTTTGTATTCTTTTGTGATGAATTTCATTCGGTGATTATCTGAAAAGAAAAAAACACATAAAAAATATTAAAAGAAATGTCACACTATTATATTTTTAATATTATATTATTACTATTTTTATTACATAGATGATATTTAAAAAATTTTTCTGCCAACATTTGAATTGATTAGAATATTTTATTTAAAGTTTAAAAGTGCTGATTGCTGCATAAAAGAATTTATATTCATCCATGCAACTATAAAACAAAAAATATTTTTTTTTTTTTTAAATAAAAAGATTATTAAGCAATATTTTGATAAAACATTTAAAAAAATTTTGAAAGAAATCAAAAAATATCAAATCAAAAATAAAAACTAAATTGCACATTTACTTAGCTGACAGTAAGACTTAAACAATCTCTGTTCCTTTCCATATGTCATACTGAAATATGCGAACTCTCAGCTATACCTTTCTCTCATCTGTTAATTACTTCCTGGTTTACTCTCGTTTTTACCTAAAAATTTCATACAAATGTATATTTGTTGACCTTTTGCCGAAACTGAGAAACTCGCGGTCAAATGCGCCGCTGTCAATGCCACTTTTTTTGTTTGAATTGATCAGATTGCGCTCAAATGGCACCGCTCGTTTGCCGAAATTCATGAAATCCCTATCAAAAGTGCTGCTTTTCTTGTGGAGTAATTCGGGATTGTCACCAACTTTTAGTGTTATATCAGACCAATCGTCACCAATGGAACGTTTTCCAAAATTCATGAAATCTCTCGAGAACTAAACAAATTAAAATATGTAACAATTTAAGGCATTCATCAATGAAAACTACTTTTTTCTTTGAATTATTATGAAGAAATTATGTCAACTTTTTTTTCTTTTTTCAATTTTTACCATATTTCATATTTAATATTTTAGTTTTTTCTTTTTTTTTTATTTAAATATTTTTGAAATTATTCTTCATTTTTTTAATAGTTAAAATGCATTAACTTGCATCTTTTATTAAATTTTTACCAGGAACTTTTTTAAATTTTATTGCATAAATTGATTTAAATATAATTTCAAATAAAATAAATAATTTTTGTGTAAGACTAAAGACTATTTTAAGTATTCTAAATGCAACAATGAAAATATTAAAAACATTTTTAAACAAAAGAATGCTAACTAATAAAAAAAATATTACTCTTTTTTGATGACATCTGTTGACATTGACAAACAAATTATATTCCTATCATTTACAGAAATTAAAATTAAGAATTTAAAAAAAAAAAAAAAAAAGGATCTAGAAAAAGATAAAAAGGATGTGGACAATGATGATTTTTGTGTGACAAAAAAGCTTTTTGTCACCTCTCCTCTTTTAAGAGAAGCAATATTGCGATCAAATTGTGGTATTATTATATTTGGTGAACGTTTTCCAAAATGCATGAAATCTCTTGCCAATCGATCGTTGTAATTGGCTGTAAAATTTAAATAGCAAATTATTAATTTTTTTTTTTTTTAGTATTTTCATCATCATAAAACGACAAAACAGTTGACATTTTAGATGAAGATTGATTAGCCTAAATTAATTAAAATTTATAGCTTATGTAATGATAACAAATTAATTCCCTTATCTATTCCTTCCAACTATTTTTGATTATAATAATTAATGAATTAATTAATTAGAATGCGATAAAAAATTTTATTTTAAAAAAGTACGATAGAATAATCATTTAGTATTTTTCAAATTTCATTTTGCTCAGTTTCATTTTACATTTTTTTTTTTTTTTCATTTTACTCAGCTAGTTTCTTTTTTAATAAAAAAAAAAAAGCTATATTACCATAATATTCTGATTGAACAATGGCAGCAGCTAATGAAATGAGTATAAGAATTGTCATAGTTTCCATTGTTAGTTACCCTTCTCACCTGAAATGAAAAAAAAAAAACAAACACAAAATTATATTAATCGATCGAAATATATACAACAATGGAAAAAGCGCATACTAAAATTGCTTCTAAAATTTCAAACATTGAAAATTTTATGAGTTAAATTTTAATCTTTAAATGATGGACAAATTTAATTTTTATTGATTGCCATTTTAGCACAAAACAATTAGTATTGGAGAGTAATTACATCATATTTTGATCTAATGAAATAATAATAGTTAGTTTAGATTTACTAATGCATAATCATTAATCAATAAACAATCATTATTTTTTTTTGCGGAATCAATCCACTGACCGGAAGAGAGCGGAAAAGCGGAAAAGTTGAAAGTTATATGTACTAAATTTTTAATACTAAATTTAGCAATTGATTTGCTTTACTTTCAATTATCTTCAGAAAAAAATTTTTTTTTTTTTTTAAGAGAATCATTTCAGTTTGCACTTTATGATGATTAACCTTCCGAATGATGTCAGGAAATGGCCTTCCTGAATGATTTCTTGACGAGAAATTTCTGAATGGATATTCGAGAACTAATTTCCTGGATGATAGAGTTTCTGTTGAATATGAATGAAGAATGCTTCTAAATGATATTTGAAGGTGAGCTTTCCGAAATATCCAGGGATGGACTTCCTAGACAATTTGAATTTCTCTCAGATGACAATAAACTGCCATAAGTCATACCTGTACTATTTGCTTGCCTTGAAGCCTATCATAAAACGGAAAAAGTTAATTAGTACTGATAAATTTATAAAGTTAAATTTATCATCCCAGTCCCTAGCTGTCACCCTAGTTCCTAGTTGTCACCACACTTAATAGCTATCATCCCAGTTAATAGCTAACTATCATAATATCATTTTGATGACACACTAAAATTGTCAAAGTGTCCTGCTATCAATGTACTAAAGTTTGCTATTATTTTAAATGAGAAAAGCTTGAAAGTAATAATTTACATAGTATCAAAATTTTAAAGAGTTTTAAATAAAGGAAGGAAATTAAGAAAAAATCTAATTGCTCTCCTTGTTGACAAATCATTCATTTGGAATATTTTCAAAATTTCTAAAACTTTTTTTTTTAGCTATTAGAGTAAATTAATTTTATGCAAATGAAAGAATTATTTGTTTATCATAATCAAATTACAGTGATAAAATGAAAGTATAAGTAATAAAAAAAAAAAGAATTTTAAGGAAAATTTGGGTCAAAATAGTACAAAAAACATGAATTTTTGAGAGATAGCAAGTAAATAATAATTTAATAACAATTATTTGTTTATCTATACGACAGAAATGACAGAAAAGATCTTTTAGCAATAATAATTCTTGAAAAAAAAAAAAAAAATTAAGTTTCCTTATTAAATTTAAAAAATATTATTTCAAATGCTATTAATAAAAAAGAAAAGTGATAAATGGAAAATGAGCGGAACAGCTTTAACAAATGGTATATAATTTGTAAAGTTAAACAAAAAAGAAAAAAAGGGAATCAAAGTATAAAGTCGTCTTAAGGAAGCATTTTATGAATTCGCAGTACTAATAAATTGGATTTGAACGAATATTAAATTAAAGACTTTTTTTTTTATTTTTCTTCAATAATATTACGAAATTTAATATTTATTTCATTTTTTGGTAAATGCAATTTAAAAAGTTTATCGTACTAAGAAAAGTGTAAACAATACGTTCACAATTGTTTGTTTACAAACTAATGAGTTTTTTTTTTTTTTTTTTTCTTGACAAAATATTTAAATAGGAAAAGTTTGATAATTAATTGAAATTGAAAAAATTTTTATAAAATTGAAATATATGCCAAAAAGAAGAAAAAAAAAAACTAATAGTTAAGCTAATTTTTTTTTTTTTTAGTTAAGCAAAAAAAAAAATGAGAATAAATAAAAGCAATGAAAAAGTCTTTGAGATGCATAATGAAAAAAAAAAAATGATTGAAAGAATTATATCATCAAGTCGTTCTTATTTATAATTTCACTATTCAACAAATCATCAAAAATAGATGAGTTTGAAGGGAGGAGAAGAAGTAAAATTGAAAGTAATGAAAGAGAGATAATGAATTGCTTACTATTATTATTATTATTATTTACTCATAATTTGCAATTCATTTGTAAGCATCAAGCGGAGCAGTAGAAAATAAAATGCGATACGATGCGATGCGATGACGAATCTGTCGCATTTCTCGTAAAAAAGAATTTAGAAAGAATTTGCAACAGTTTTTTTTTTTTTTTTTGAAATGAAAATGAAAAAAAAAATTTTTGAATTAAATCAATTCTAACGCATTTGTATGTGCAATATTTATTTAACCAGCTAATTTGTGTCGAAGATCAGCTAAAAATTTTTGAATTAAATCAATTCTAACGTGTGTCGCAGATCAGCTAATTTGTGTCGCAGATCAGCTAATTTGTGTCGAAGATCAGCTAATTCGTGTCGAAGATCAGCTAGTTTGTGTTGCAGATCAGCTAATTTGTGTCGAAGATCAGCTAATTTGTGTCGCAGATCAGCTAATTTGTGTCGAAGATCAGCTAATTCGTGTCGAAGATCAGCTAATTTGTGTCGCAGATCAGCTAATTTGTGTCGAAGATGAGCTAATTTGTGTCGAAGATCAGCTAATTTGTGTCGAAGATCAGCTAATTTGTGTCGCAGATAAGCTAATTAGATCACTGAATTATGTTCATTAATTATTCAAACAGACATTTAATCAGCAGCATTTGAATCAATGAATTAGTTAATTAAATAATTAAAATATCTATTTTGATAGCAACCATATCACTTTATCACTAAATGCGCTAACATCACAACAAAATTAACAATTAATCAGTAATCTGAAAATTATTTATCATAATGGTAATTGTGCTTGATAGTGTAATAGCATTGTTAAATTATCCAAGTTTTTAAAATAATTTAATCAGTGATTAGACATTGCAAAAATTAGTAAACTGCAAGAAATAATTTGCGAAAACAAAAAAAAAAAAAATTAAAATTAAAAAAATGATAAAAAGGACAAAAATTCCTTATACTTAAGTTTTATTAAATCTATTCAATTGTTATTGTGATTCGACTATTTGTGCAATTAATTCATTATTTCATTCTTAAATCGACAAATTTTTGTTCATTTCAGAAGAGTAAATTTAAATTAGCATTTTTTAATCGGTAAAAAAATTATGCAATTTAATTAGCTTATAATAATTATTTAAAGCATCATTGCTAAAACTTTGGATGATTCTGAATTTTTCTTTCTTCCATATAGCAAATTTATTTTTCATTCAGCAATTTAAATTTTTCCAACAAGTTTAGCTTTTATTTTAGTCTGCACAAATTTTAGTTTCTTTCTTCTAAATTAAAATTATGCTCCTAAATTGATTGTTGTATTATTTGTTGTAATAATTACAAAAACTAAATTCATTCAAATAAATTTACGACACTTTCATTCAAATAAATTTACGACAATAATTTTTTTTTTTAATGGAAAACACTCAGAATAATTCTCAAATATAAAAATTAAGTTCAAAAAAAAAAAAAAAAAAAGTAAAAAAAATCACTTACAATCATTTTAGCTTAGTTCTTTTATAGTACAAAATGGCATATAAATGGTAGGAATGAATGAAATATATTTAATTGCAAGCATTCATTGCCATCAATTTTTTTCTCATTAAAAATAAAACAAAGTTCAAAATCATCAGTCCATGGCTGAATTTATCATCCAGCAGTGATTGCAGAATTGTTTATCTATCTACAATATTCTAGCATTTATCAATTATCAACATTATCACACTGATTAAATCATTTTGTGTTCAGATGAAAATTTATTTAGCGATTCAATCGATAAATGTTGATTTTACACTTAGATATAAGTTAAGCAGTTAATTAATTAGCAAAGCCAAAAAATAAAAAGATCATTAACGAGGGATAAAATTAATTTAAAAAATTACTAATTTGTTAGAATTGTTATAAATTAATTGAAATGAAAAGTCAACAAATACTTTTTTTTTTTTTTGTAATTAGTACAAAATGAAAACGATTTTTATTCATTGTTTAATAAATTTTAAATATTACAATGCTTAAATTAAAAATATGAAATGGGCAATTATGCAAAGACGAAGATCCGAAATACCCTAAACTATAATTTAATTTCTCATTTGCATGCACATATAATTTGATAAGCTATTGCAAAAAGCATATCAGATCAATTAAAAAAAATTTTAAGTAAGCAAAATTAGTAGAAAATCTTAAATTTGAATAAATTTTTGTTAAAATTTTTGACTTTTTCATTTTTTGTTCAACTACTAAACAATTTCAATTGTTCTCGAGTCTTGACTGATCAATGATAATGTCATCTGCTAAACCCGTAATTATCATCATTACAAGAGTTCCTCTTTTTTTTTTTTTACTAACTTTTTTCAACTTCTCTCTTCAACACAAATCAAAAAAAAAAAAAAGTAAATAATCAAATTTCCATCAAACAATATAAGTTTGAAATATTTGATGAAAATTTGATAATGCGTGTAGAATGTATAATGTAATAATAATGTTTGTAATTGATTTTTAAATTTAGAATTCAAATTTTGATATTATTATTTTTGCTTTTTTCCTCATTACCTGTAATCGATTCATGCATTATGCAAACATTACTAAAACTCAATTAATAATGATTTGACACAAGAGGACGGTCATTTTTTTTAAGCATCCAAAAGTTACCGATGACGAATTATTCTCGAGAAAACTGTAAATAATCTTTTGTAGATGACAAATTGCTGCTAAATCATAAGTAATTAGACTTAAATGAAGAAAACTAAATTTCATTTTTTGTAAAATTCAAATTTTAAGCCTCAAAATTGAAATTTCTTGTGTTGAAAAATTGTAATTGAAATGCATAAATGATTATACTGCAATTTTTAAAGAAAAAATCAACTCAATATTCAACTAAGTTACAGTTGCAGATATATCTGAACTTTGACATTTGAAACTGATTGCAGTTATGTCAGTAAGTTTGATATTTCAATTTAACTTTAATTTTACTGAAATTGATCTTCCAGTTAAAAGCAGCTGCATTTATTAATCTATCAGAATCTATCGGCTAATTAAAACTTTCAATTTTAATTAGCAGTATTACAACGCAACTAAATTCCATCAAATTTTAGTAATACTATCTGGCAAAATTACAAAAACAAAGTGTAGCAAAGATTATTATAAAATCAACGATGAATGAAACGAAAAAATTTAAATGAAATTTTAATTTAGGACTGAATGCAAAATGATTACATTTCCTTTTCTTATCATACAAAATTAAATTAGCAATAAATGCTAAGAGAAACTGCGCAATATTAAAAGTAAGCTAACAAATTTTAAATGAAATTTGAATTTGATTACAAACTTTTTGTACGCCATAAATAGATGATTTCAATGTGAAAATTTTAAAATATTTTACTAATAAATAAGCAATTACTTCTTTCATTTTTTCACTTTTTTTTTTTCATTCCATTTTCTAGACAATAAAAAGATATTGAAGAAAAAAAAAAAAATAAAATGAAGTAGAATGAAATTTAAGAAAGAATTATTAGAGGAATAATTTGAAATAAGCGATATTACTGGCATCTAACAACTACAAATGCAAATATTTCTATTCAAATATTTTAATTATAAGAATTTCAAGAAGAAATTGAAAATGAAAAAAAAAAATTGAAAAGCTAAAAAAAAAAAGAAAAAAAGACATGAAACTTTAAATAATTTACATTTTATTCACTCGGAGAACTCAAATGTAAATTGAAACAGATATTTTCCTTCCATTTTTCTCTCTCCTCCTCTACGCTTACATTTCTTTTCCTTATTTTCCCATCCTTTTTAATTTTGAAAAAAAAAAAAAAAAAAAAAAAAATTAAACGAAAGTAAAATAAATAAATAAAAAACGAATAAAGCCATTTTAGTCATTTAAACATTTTAATGGTAAAATGAAATTGTTGTTAATTTAAATCTATTTTGTCTCCAAAAGTTTTAATTACATCTTAGAGACTGTCATCAAATATTCAGTGTTGTTATTGCAGTAGCACTTTTTTTTTTTTCATTTGCCTTTGTTGTCGTACAAATTTTTTTTTTTTTATTATCAATTTCTGGACAAAACTCGTCGTCACAATGTCTAAATGATAATTGACAAATATTGCAGAAGGTCAGATTCTGCAAAACGCAGTGACAAGGTCAAAATTAAAAAATATAATTGGGAGGAGAACGTCATTCCTTTGCATTACTGCAATATGTAATTAATATGCGGAACAATTTGACAACTGACAGATTTGCGGAACGGTTTGATAGTTGATGGTTTGCGAACGATTTGTCAGCTGATAGATCTGCGGAACGGTTTGATAGTTGATGGTTTGCGAACGATTTGACAGCTGACAGATTTGCGGAAAGATTTAACAAGTGATAGATTTGTGGAACGATTTAACGGCTGATAGATTTGCGGAATGACCTGACAGTCGATGGATTTGCGGAACGCTTGTATGCATATGGGTAAGATGAAATCACAAAGAAACATCAGAAGATCATCGATAATTTTGTTTTTCATATGAAATTCATCTTAACCAGTTCCGAAGATCGGAAATCATCCGTGAAGAAACTTTTATCGTTTTACAAGAATTTAGACAGTCAGAAAAGTAAATAAACGAAATAAAAAAAGCGGTGACGAAAAGATAAAAGTTGCAAAGATTTATAAATAAAATGATGTTTAATGAACGGTAGCTCTTCCGTTTATTGGGAAAAAAAAAAGAAAAAAAAAAAACGGTCTGAAACTTTGAAGTAAACATCTAAAAGCCATTAAACTGATATTTTAAAAATACTAAGTCGGATAAAATGTTTGAAAAAATTTCAAATTATACTACACTGCTGTTTTAAATAAATAAGCTAAAGACGTACTTGAAATAATTTCTATTCCTTCTACCTTTACTTTCACATATAAATATGATTAAATTAAATACTTTATTTAAAAATTCATACTTACAATCCAAGAATTTTAAATCCTTTACTTTTTATAATCATTTTCAATTTTAGTTTTTCTGTTGAATGTAAAAACACTTTATGCAAGCAAAATGATTGGGTTTTTTTTTTTTTTTTCATTTTTTAGTTTTCTGTGGAAATAATTCGAAAAAGCATAAAACTTTTTTTAAAAATCAATTGAATAATTTTTGAAATTCGTTTTATTTTGATGGGAAGAAAGATTAGAATGAATGGTAAAAAATAAATTATTTTCAAAATTATTTTTTATTAGCCAAATATGCATAGCAGAAATTGCCAAATGTCCACTTATGAGCAAAGGTCACGAAGCAGAAATTGTCAAATGTCCACTTATGAGCAAAGGTCACGAATGGTCACAAATTGAATGTAATAAATAAATGCCACTAAACATAAATATAAAACAAAAACTGATCGATCTAAAAAAAAAAAAAAAAAAATTTAATATTTGAAAATATTCAACAAAAGGGCAGTGCTTAGCTGAAACTATAATGTACGTTCATTAATGACTGTGTTCTAATCTAAGTTAGACCCACTAATTAATAATTTACCTGTCCTTGATTAGAAATTAATAAATTACTTTGGATAAATAGTAATACGATTTAAATTTTCATTTTAAAAAACTTTAATAAATATTTTCATTAAACGATGCATCTAACATTTATTATTTCCTCTCGACGTTATCTCGTTTAATTGTTCCTTAATTATTATTATTCCTTAATTAAATCTTTTATCAATCACGTTTAGTACACGTGCGTAGTTAAGCTACGCCGTAACGCCACGTCTACACAAATTTTTAAAACAGCAAAAAATATTTTACGAAAAACTTCATATTATTCGACAACTTTAGAGATTGGAATTTTAATTATAATATTTTACTTATGAAATAAAATTTAAAAATTATTGAAATTTCAAGATTTGTGATAAAAAGTTGCAATATTTTAGTTTCCAATCAAGAAAATATTAATTTTATTACAAATTGTTTTCTCACACTAAGTAGTCATTTTCAGTTATCTTTTTCGCACTTTTTTTTTTTAAAAAAAAAAAAAAAAAAACAAAAACTTTAAAATGTCTTATTCTTTATGATTCCCTGACAACTATGTCCTTATACTTTAACATTTTTCTTTCTCAACTTTATGAAATTGATAAGGAATAACTTTTATTCCATTGAAAATCAAATATTTTAATGGAATTTAAAAGTAATGCAATTTTATAATTCAACTATTAAATCAATTTTACAATTTAGGAAACAGAAAATAATTTCATTAGAACAGAAAAAGTTTTTAGCTATGTAATGAATTCTCTTTAAATCGGTAATCCAATTTAAATATCAAACTAATCAGTTTATTCTAATAGCTTTTAGAGAGTTTAAAGAAGTTTAAATAAGTTAAGTGGTTATGCTGAATTATATAATAATTTTGTGTTACACATTTTATCATATATTAGGGAATAAGTAATGGTAATGAAGTAAAACACGTAAACATCTCAGCAATTATAACACGTGAAATACGCTTACCGATGAAAGTTACTGCGTTGGGCGCACTTCTACAGCAAACCATTCATGATGAATTCTTTTTAAAAAAATATTTAAATTGAAAATGTCTAATTTTCAATTTAAATTAACGAATAGTAATTCGAGAAGAATAAGAAACGAAATACAAAGTATGAAAAAAAAAAAAAAAAAAAGGAAAAATCATCTTACCAGTTATCATTTTCAATTTTTCCAAGCTTTTCTTTAAAACTTCTTCAAAAAGTATGCTATTAGCTAAAAAGTGATAAAAACACATAATTATATGCAAATTGGTTTTCTGAAGACTCAATTGAAAGTACTCGAAATGAAATAATTAAGTAATATATATGGAGATTCATAATAAAATCAGGCACAATAACAAATGAATAATATATTTTTAAAAAGAAAGCAAAAAAGAAGAAAATAAATAGATGAAAGCAATAGTTATAAAGAAGGATGAGTTTGGACAAGAATTTAATTTAAAGTTTAATTTGGTGATGTTCGTCTCTTCTCTAAACCCTCTGGCTAGCAAATTCATCAGCAATCACCATTAAGGTTTCAATAAAAACAAAAATTAAAAAAATTTTCCTCTCGTACTTCCTTTTTGAACCAATTTTTTTCCAACTTTCCAAAAATTTACCAAACATTTACGAATAATATTTTTTATAAGTTAAATTCTTCCTTTAATAGAAGAAATTGCTAGAAGAAAATGATATTAATTTTAATTTCATTACTTTTATTTCAGTATTATACACGAGCTTACGAGATAAAATATATTGGAAATGAAAAAAAAAAAAAAAGATCAATCAATGATTGTAATAAAAACTTAGTGCTTAAATATAAGCATTATTGATAATTAGTGATTATTTGAATGATAATATCAGTTAGTTTCGAGAAACTTAGATCAAACATTATGTGAATATGGTCAATCGAGGAAAAAGTTCACGAAGATCATTTCATGAAATAATATATTTTTAAAATCTATGCAAATGATAGAGATTGATTATTTGATAATTTCTTTGGCAATTTAATTATTTAATGAAAAATAATTTTTTCTGAAAATAAAAAAGATAATTGAAATAGAATTTCGTGATTACATTATTTAATTTAAAATTGTGGATGCGACAGTAACATTAAGAAATTATTGTTCGTAACTTTGACAATTTCTTTAAAAAAAAAAAAAAAAAAATGACAATAACAGATTTAAAATAATGACTGATAGCTTCAATTAGTTATGTTTGTCATAAATCAGTCCTATAAATAAATGATTATTTAATTACTTATACATTCAGGTTGATGGACATAATTATGAGTCCAATTTTACCACCAGGAAATCTCGGGTCGGCTCGAATGACACTCTGCTATGACACACTGAAATGCTATGCTATGCACATTCAGATGACAAATTGTCAAGTAATTATACAAAATATTCCGTTAATAGAATGCTTAAATAGCTTTACTTGCACAAATATTAATAATAATTAGTATTATTTGTATGCAAATATTATTACTTATAGAATACTATTACTACTACAATTACAATTACTGCATTAATACTTTTGTAATAATTACTTATCAGAAAGAATAAAAAGTTTATTTGGATGAATTTAAAATGAAACGATTGATAAATGATAACGATTGATAAATGATAATGAGAAATCATAATTTTATCTCTAATTGTGATATAAATGAAAACTGTATTCATTCAATTCTAAGAGATCGCAAGTCTTTTCTCTTTCGTTTTAATCTTTTTTTTTTTTTTTAATCTCTTCTTTTTTTTTTTTTTTTTTCACTTTCTCTTCTTAATTATAAAATGATGGATAAGAGAAGATGCAGTTAGGGATAGAATTTCAATTACAAATATTTCACTACTTCTTAATTAAAACCAATTTATACAAATGGAAGTTATTATTATTATTATTATTATTATTATTATTATTATTATTATTATTATTATTATTATTATCATTATTGCTATCATTATCATCATTATTATTGTTATCATTACTACTATTATTAGTGTTTATTATTATATAAAATTATTATTATTATTATTATTGCTATCATTATCATCATTATTATTGTTATCATTACTACTATTATTAGTGTTTATTATTATATAAAATTATTATTATTATTGGCAGTATTAATAAAGAGCAATAATAACGATATTTCTCAAGCAATTAATCTCTCTCTAAATCACTAATTGATAATTTTGCTTCTTCTGTTGATAAAAGATAGTGAGAAATCATAATTTCATCTCTTCGTGTGATGATAATCGTGATATAAATAATTTTATATAATAAAAATATATTCATTCAATTTTATATAATAAAAAATATATTCATTCAATTTCTAACTTTTTCTGTTAATGAAAAATATGAAACTAACAGATTCATTCATAATTGAAATAATTCCATTTATTTTTTTAAATAAACCAGACATAAGACTGTATAGAATAAATACTTTGATAAAACACATACATATATATAAAATTAATAATATGTAAAAAAGAAAGCAAACTTAATGAATTTTAATTATTCCTAAGCATAAATAATTTATAATACAATAATCGTTTAAAAAAAAAAAAAAAAAAGGTAATTGTACGTAATCGTAAAGAATAATGTTTTTAAATACTTTTAAATATTAATTTAATTATCAAAACACAACCATCATTTCATAGTTTTCTCCAATTTCATTACCATTTACCACAGAGATTATCATCTCATCCCATCTTTCTTTTTTTTTTTGATTTGATTTGATTTGAAAATTTGACCATTAGTATAATTTCAAATTTTTTTTTTTTTTTTTGTTTAGAATTGAAATGGACGTATTAGCATCTTCTCATTATTTTTCTCATATTTCTTTATCCCTCCTTCTCTCTTTATTTCAAAAGGTAAAAAGGTAAAATAAGTAAAGAGGGAGAGAGAGGGAGAAAGGGATAATGGAGCACTTTCTTAAAAAATAAAACAAGGGAAAGAGAGAGGGAAGCATCGATGAGAAAGGATAAAAGCTTTTAACCAATTTTAATTTCCAATTTTCAAATTTATTATAGAATTTTTTCTATTCGACAGATGAAAAAAAAAAAGAAAAAGAAAAAGAATAAAAAAACATTATGTTTTATTAAATGAATTATTTTACTAAAAAACGAAAAAAAAAAAAATTCAAATAAATGTCAAAATAGTATCTAATTAATAAATTAATTATAATTTGATTTCTTTCTTTTGTGAATTAATATCATTTTAATATTCGATAGAAATTGTCTTAAAATTTAACGACAATTTTCTTCTCTCTTTTTTTTTTTTACAATGAAATTTTAAAACATGATCAGTTCTAATTTTCTTAATTTTATTTATGCTAAATTTTCACATTCGAGAATTAATTTTTATTAAACAACAAAAAATAAATTTTATCTTTTTTATAGGTGAAAAAATAAAAAGGAAATGTCGATTTTATGTTTTTTGAAATAAAAAAAAAAAAAAAAAAGCTTAAAATGAAATAACTAAGATCGAGAATTGTTGGTTTTTTTTCCAATATTTAGTGAAAAACCTCTTAAAACATACATTAAATTGTCGTCATTTTGTCATTTTGTCATTTCAACTCTGATTCAATTCAAATTTTATTTATTTATTTTTTTTTTTTTTTTGCAAATGAAAGAAAAAGCATAGTTTGATGAATAGTTTGAACTGAAATAAATTCGAGAAATCAAGAAATACAAACTTTTATTAAACATTCGAGAAAAATTTATTAATTGATATGCTATTTTCAATTTAATATTTTCAATATTTGAATTTATAATTAATCACAATTGTAGACAAAAATGATTATAGTAAATTAATATGCATGCTAAGAGGAATGTTTGTTGTTCAAAATTTTGATAATAATCGATAATCTATTCTAAACCATTCATATTTTCCGGAAATCCCTCCTTGCGGCATTTTTTTCAACTAATTTCAGGTATACCTGAATCAATCAATCCGGCAACGTATTGTTATTTACTATTCCTTTTAGTCTCCGCTATCAATTATTTATTATTGTCATTGAACACATTGACACTTTACATGGTACTCAGTAATTAGCAGTCAATACAGGTTTGTAAACAACTTTTGTTAGCAATGACTCATTCACCCATTGTTTGTTTGTTTATTTTTCTTTTCTTTTCTTTGCTGTTCGGAAAATTTATTCAACTTTTGATGAATGATTAATAAATTTTTGAAAGTTGAAACCAATTCAAACACTAATTGTTTTAAAAATGGTTTTTAGCTTCTAATCAAAAAACTTTTGGTAAATATTATTATCGTTCAATGCATTTCTAAAACATTTGACAATGTAACTAAAATAAACTGTAATCATTAATTTTTTTTTTTTAAAAAAAACAAAAGAAAAGATAATTTTAAAACGATTCCTCATGTAATACACTTCACTTCTTCATTTATTTTTCTCGTCCTGAATTATTTCAATCAATCAATCAATCAATAAATGTAATCATCTGAATCACGCAGTACCGAACGTTTTTTATAAAACGGCGAACCTTCGACAAATCTGAAACTAATTAGAATTAGCATAATTATTAGCTTGAAAATTAGTAAAATACATTACGTCTGCTAAAATTTAAAGTAATTTCACTGATTACTGTATAAAGTAAACCTGAAAATTGCTATATTTTAAATTCAAATGAAAAATACAGAAAAGTATACTTGACGTTTCCAGCATTTGACGGACTCCAATACGTGTAGAAGGGATGTCCACCGCCACGTTTCAATTGTTGATAGTAGTAGTACGGTGAGAAGGTTTGGTGTCGTTTATTGCTCGGGAAAAAAAGATTTTCAAAATTGTTTCCTCTCATTGAACCAAATGCTCGAGCGCCAGCTCGTTTTCTCGTCCAAAATAATTGCCTAAAAAAAAATTTTCCGCTAAAAAATTTTATGCCACAAAATGCTTTAACAAAAATTCCATTTTTTATTTCCTTTTGCTCGAAATGATATATCTTTTTTGTTTTGTTATCCAAAAAAAAAAAACTTTTTGCAATTTTAGTACAATTAAAAATTATAATTCAATAATTAAAATAATTTCTATTTATTATGTAATAATTAATTTGCACTGCTATTATTAGTAAAAGTAACAGTATAATAATAATTATTTAAATTTATTATTTTATACAAATGCAAATAGTTATGCCTCTTGTTGCTTATTACTATTGTTCGACAAACTTTTAGCTGATAATTAATTAATTAAATTAATTAATAAATAAATTGTTGGAATGTTTGCTTAGAATTTTTATTAATGATCATATAATATACCGTTCAAGATCTTCTGCTTCCGGATTATTTAATATCGGCGTACGTTCCTTGTCATCATCATTAATATCTAAAATTTGGAATTTAAGGAAGGAAATAGGTGTTGTTCAAATTTGTTCTGTTCTTTTTTCTTTCCAGATTTATAAATCCGGAAAGAAAAAAATAAAAGTAAAAAACCTTTTTAGCATGAAATTTCTTTTCCTTTTATGTTTTAAATCTGGAAAATATATTGAATCACAGTAGCTGCTTGAATTCGAGTAATTTTTGAGAATTGTGAATGAATTTGAAATTATTCACAAAGCAAATTAAATTTGCACTTTGCCCGCCCATTAAATAAAATTCATAAATTCAATGGAATCAAATTTTCATAAAATTAAACGTAAAATTTGAAATGAGCAGGTTTATCCGCAATTTTTGACTTCAAAATTCGGTGCAAAAAAATATAAATGCATGAGAGAAAGAATTTTATTGAAATAATTGATTTTAAAATTGCTTATGAACTTTTTTTTTACCTACCAATAAGGATAGCTTCATTATTCTTACTGAACAAAATTATAGTGATGTCTGGAGAAGGGATGTTTGGTTTAGTTTTATCGAAGTATACTTTACTTCCAATTCAATTTTACTTAGTTCATTTAGATTACTTTTTAAATTTGGTGTTTAAATTTCGCTCAATTTCTTCGTCATATCTCTTCCTTTTATTTTTTCTAATCTTTTTTTTTTCCCAAAGCACAGTTTCCGCATTATTTTGGCTCAGACAATTTCCTCTTTTTGTAGAAAATTTCTTTTTTTTTTTTATAGCTGAAAAAACGTTGTGTACTGATTATTTTATGAATAAGAATAATACAATTTCAATTAATTCCATCAGTCTAACGAACAATGTCCAATATAGAATTCAAAGAATTTTTCAAAACAAAAGAATGAACTTGGCTCAATTTACCTGTAGCCTTGGCTCAATTCACCTGTGACCTTTGTCAATTTTTATCGATGTCTCATTGAAGTGCTATTCCTGTTGCTACAATTCAAAAGCTAACAAATATTGCTATCATATATCAAATATTTGCAGCAAATTTCAAATTTATTTCGCATTAAAATTGCATTCACCAAATTTTCTTAATTTTATAAACTAAAATAATTAATTTAAGTGGACAATTTTAAGTAAAAGAATAAATTCTATTTGTCACTTCTATTTATTCCTTGCTTCACTTTAGTAAAATATTTTCATAATTGGTCATTGCCCTGTATAAATTTATTAAATAATAACATTTAGTGAGCCATTAAATGGTGTGATTTGTGTCAAATAATCGAGATGTTATCAATATTATTAAGCATTGTTAACAGATAAGATGATGATTAAAAAAATGATATTGATGATGGTAATAGTGATGAATAATCATTATTTCGCTATGCGAATTATCATCATTATTTAGTTGTTAAATAATTAATAACATTTAGTGAGCACTAAATGGTGTGATTTGTGAACGATAATTTTATCACAAATATCTTCAATTAGTTGCTGAATGCATACCGATAGTATTATAAATTATCATCATCATCATCATCAATAATAGCCATCTTTTCTATTTTTCTACTACCACTGATAATGCAATTGTCATTGTCATCATCATCATTATTCAACATTATTATCAGCTCATCATCATCACTGTCATCATTCAGCACCATCATTATCATCATCATTGATCATCACCATCATTATCATCATCATCACCATCACTATCGTCATTCATTATCATCACTATCATCATTCAGCATCATCATCATCACTGTCACCATTCAGCACCATCATCACCGTCACTATCATCATTCAGCATCATCATCATTATCGTCATTCATTATCATCACTATCAGCATTCAGCATCGTCATCATCACTATCATCATTCAGCATCATCATCACTATCGTCATTCAGCATCATCATCATCACTATCATCATTCAGCATCATCATCACTATCGTCATTCATCATCATCACTATCACCATTCACCATCATTACTATCGTCATTCACCATCATCACTATCGTCATTCATCATCATTACTATCGTCATTCACCATCATCACTATCGTCATTCATCATCATCACTATCGTCATTCACCATCATCACTATCGTCATTCATAATCATCATTATCATCATTCAGCATCATCAATTGAAGCAAAAAGCCATTCGACAAACTTTATGCGAAGCAAAGTTCTTCTGAATAACAATTTCCGAAAAAAAATTCTCTCAAGGGATTTGTTTTAAATTATGGAAAAAAAGATAAAAAAAAAGGGGAAAAGAAACAACAAAAAATATTGGACGAAGTTTTTATGTGCTCTCAATGTCTCACATTCAGTTATATGACAAAATCATTTCAAAACCATCCAATGAAACTTTTTTTTAACAATACAATATACTACAGATAAATATACTAATTTCTAAAACGATTAATTATTTCAATCATAAGTATATATTATGCAATGTAATAAAAATTTGGTAATTTATCAGCAAATTTTTGCAAACTTAATTATTTTATAAAATTAAATTAAGTGGCAAAATGATCGATAATTTCGTATTTTATGTACCAATTTAATGCATAAAACCTATATAAATAAAATATAATTGTTGTGAATAAGACGAAAATGAAGGAAAAGGAATAACGACTAGTAAATGGTTTGAAATTTTCAATATTCATTCAATATGCTTAAGAAATATAAAACTTTAAAAAATTGCTTTTCAAAATTTTTCATTTTTAGCTGACAAAATAAATTCCAAAGTTAGGAAAAAACCAAAAAACAAAAAAAAAAAAAAAAAAAAAACAAAACAAAAAATGTCAGAAAATGATGTCTTTCTTCTGAGGCAGAAATATCACAATTTAAATTTTCTAACTAAATTTTCTCGTTGCTTTTCCCATTTCGACTTTAATGGCTAATTGTTGAAAGTTTACAAACAAACAGCTAACAGCAATGATTTAGTAAAATAACATTTCAAGCAATCATTTTTTTTTTTTTTTTCATTCTCAGTAAACTTGTCGTTTGCTCAGTACATTCGTAAATATATCATAAACCTCCATTCACATAACCATTCCAGTAAATTTTACTTATATGAAAATAAAAAATTAAAAATGATAAGATTTTCTGAATAAAAAAAATTTCCAAAAATTTAGTTTCCGGAAACAAAGCTAAAGAAACAACAATCGATATATTAAACTGAGACGAAAACAAAAAAAAAAAAAAAATGAAAAATGAAAAAGAAGGATTTTAAAAAGTAGGTGCAATATTAGATACAATATGTTTTAAAAATTTTTCATATGCTAAGAAGCTTTTAAATTGAGAAAGTTAAAGGAACAGATTAAATTAAAAAATTATAAAAGTAAAATGAAAGATGTTAGTGTGGAGGAAAAAAATTAACCAAAAAAATATTGACAAATAGAAAGAAAAAAAAAATAAAAAATACAAATCTTTAATCCAAAATAAAAAGCTATGAAATTTTTGCAGTAATTAAAATGTCTTAAATACATTTAATGTCAAAATTTCACAAAATATTTCCAGTTTATGCAATTTTATAATATTTCAACAAATTCTCAACAATTTGTAGTATTTGAGGAATAGAATTTGAACCCTGCAAATTTAAATAATTTAATTTTGAATACTTTAGGAACCACTTTGAGATATATATTTCAGATTCATTAGTTTAAAAATGAATGAAAATTTTGCTATAAATCCAGTGGCATACTGTTCTGTTGTAGTATTGGAAGGTAATAATAAAAAGTGGAAAAAAATATTTAATAATTCTTTGCTTCCATATTTAATTTCATTTATTTGTTGGTTTTGCATTCTTTTCGGTAAAGAAATATTAAAATTTTATAAATTGAAAAAAAAAAAAAAATATTTTCACAACACAAACAATCATTTTTGCCATTTACCGTGTGCGTAGGTAAGTAAATAAAAGATTGCACAATGAAGGAATAATTTCATCGTTAACATTTAGTCTTTGCAATTGTTTGCCTGCAAATTAATTATTTATTAATAGATGAATAATTGTATGAGAAATAAGACATTATGATGACTAAAAAGAAAGGAAAGAAGAAAGAAGAGGAATCTAAGGAGAGAGGAGGAGGAATTTAAGGAGGGAGAAGAGGAATCTGAGGAGGGAGAAGGAGGAATCTGAGGATGGAGAAGGAGAAGGAAGAGGAATCTAAGAAGGGAGAAGGAGGAATCTAAGGAGGGAGAAGAGGAATCTGAGGATGGAGAAGGAAGAGGAATCTAAGGAGGGAGAAAAGGAATCTGAGAAGGGAGAAGGAGAAGGAAGAGGAATCTAAGCAGGAGGAAGAGGAATCTAAGAAGGGAGAAGGAGGAATCTAAGGAGGGAGAAGAGGAATCTAAGGAGGGGGAAGAGGAATCTGAGGATGGAGAAGGAAGAGGAATCTAAGGAGGGAGAAGAGGAATCTGAGAAGGGAGAAGGAGAAGGAAGAGGAATCTAAGCAGCAGGAAGAGGAATCTAAGAAGGGGGAAGGAGGAATCTGAAGAGGAGGAAGAGGAACGGTAGGGAAAAGATGAAATTTTCAAAAAAATAAAATAAACCGCATGTTTTCTCCAAAGAAGTCATCATTTCTAGCAAAGAAATGATGCATTTTGGTTAAGGCCCATGCAAATTTCCTCATCCTTTCATTTCATTTCCTCTCTCCTCCTCTTCCTCTCTTCTCCTCTTCCTCCCTCTCTTTTTTTTTTTTCCTCCTCCTTCTTTCATCCTTTTGTTTAGTCGATGATGTTAAATCAAAACAAAAATTTATTTCAAATTTTATCCCAAATGATTTCATCTTCTTCTCTTCTATCTTCTTTTCGGCTTTCTTTAAAAACTGTGTTCATTTAATTCAGTTATACTGTTTATTTATTTATTTATTTGTTTTTTCACCAATAATAATAATTATTATTACTGCTTTTTCATTTTTTTTTTTTTTTTTTTAATCATTGCACAAATTTTGTATTATGCATTTTATTGAAAAAAATTCGTCATTTTTTGTTTTTTTTTTTTTTTTTTGTTTTTCATCATCATATTCATTTTAAAATATTTATTTATACCATTTTATAATCCATCACTTTTTTATACTATTTCAAATTTTCACTTTATCTAAAATAAAATGAAAATTTTCCAATGATATTTGCAATATTTCATTTCATCCAAAATTTATCATTTGACGCAATTTTCAGCTTGTCTAAGCTTTTTTTTTTTTTTTATCTATGCTAGCATCAATAAATAGTTTGGTCGATAATCACATTTCACATTTCAGTTCAACAAAACTTTATTCAAGAATAACTTTTATTGAAAATAGTAAAAATTAGAAAGAGAGAGAGAGAGAGAGAGAAAAAAAGGACAGCAAAAAGATGCAATTAGAAATAAAGGAGAAAGAAAAAGAAATAACAAAATTTTAACAGTCAATATGAATTTTAATAAATTAAATTCTTCAACTATTTTTTTTTTTTTCACTTTGTCATAAACAATTTTTTGTTTAATCGAATTTCAGTGCTACAGCAAGAAGGATCGAACTATCGATCGATTTCATTGTACTTCCAAATTAGTAAACAAAATTATTTTATTGTCAAAAAATCGATGCGAGCAAATTTATGCAAAGCAATGTAAATCGTTTAATAAAATATTTCAAAACAAATGAAAGACAAATGCATTTCCGTTTTGTACTAAATTAGAGTTATTGTAAAATTTATATTTAGTAATTCTCTAATTACAGTTTTATTTCTATCTTATAAAATTTATATTTAGTAATTCTCTAATTACAGTTTTATTTCTATCTTACAAAATTTATATTTAGTAATTCTCTAATTACAGTTTTATTTCTATCTTACAAAATTTATATTTAGTAATTCTCTAATTACAGTTTTATTTCTATCTTATAAAATTTATATTTAGTAATTCTCTAATTACAGTTTTATTTCTATCTTATAAAATTTATATTTAGTAATTCTCTAATTACAGTTTTATTTCTATCTTATAAAATTTATATTTAGTAATTCTCTAATTACAGTTTTATTTCTATCTTTTGAATTTGTGAATAAAAAATTTATTTTATCATAGTTAGATAACGATTTAAAAACTTGTCTTAATTTGTTAAAAAATGAAAAAAATTTTATTGCTAATTAAATAAATTAAATTTTCATATTCAGAATTTTGCTAATTTTAAACAAAAAAAAGGAAAAAGTTAAGCAGAAAAATTCAAGCCTACTTTAATTTACAATCAAAAAATTCAATGATAAAATAATATCATAATTACTGATTATTGGATAACATTCCGATTGCAATATTCAATTAATTTGCAAAAATATTTAGAACCTTTTTTTTTCAATATACTATAAAATATCTTTTTGTTTATTACATAATTTATATTAAACATTTTCATTTTAACATTATTCACACAAAATTTATTTTTATCACATTTAATTTTTTCTTTTTTTGTTTTCTCCTTTTTATATTTTAATTTTATCTTTCTCATTATATATTTGACATCTAAAAATTACTAGCACATTTACAATTGGTCTTTTTTCTCTCTTCTTTTTAATCCATCTTATCTTCCCATCATTTTATTTGTCTATTCAAATTTAAAGAGAAAAAAAAAATAAAAAATAATAATAAATAAAGAAAATTCACATAATTCACAGCTACAGCATTCATTTATTCTAACGTTATTTGAAATTTGATGATGAATTTGCTAAATAACATTCAATCTTTCTTTCCCTTTTTTTTTTTTTTCTCTCTCTCTCTCTCTCTCTCTCTCTTTACCATTTCCTTCTTTTCTGCTATTTTTTTGCTTTATCTAAGAATATTTACCTAACAAAAATTACAATTAACTATTTGGAAAATCCTAGAAAATGATGATTGAACAGAGATTTGCCCTGTGACCATAAAAAAAAAAGGGTCATGACCTTTTTTGTTTATAGTTATATCGAAATATTGTCACATATCGAAATGTTGTCACATAGCTAACTGATTTTAACACGGAAAATAATAAACGACAGAAAGTTGAAGTAAAATATTTTTGTACCTATAAATGGTATTAACTTTTTTAATCTTAGTGAACAAAATTATCAGTTAAAATGTTAAAAAAGAAATGATTTTTCAATCAACAATTTATTCTTCCAACTGCCAACTGTCAAACAGATAGTAAAATTTCTCTTTCCTTAATCAAAGAAAGTTACTGTTAAATTTCATGTAAACTGATTGGAAGGAATAGAACTGATTCCCTACCAATAATATCAAATTCTTCAACAATTCATACAATTATCCAAACTTCCTGTCACTTTATTAACAGCACTTAAAGTAAATTATTATTATCATTATCAATATTAATCATTAGTTATTATTATCACTGTTATTGTTATTACTATTGTTAATTATTACTATAATCAATCATCATCAAATTTAGCGAGAATGATAACTTTTAATTTTTACTGCTAATAATTCTTTTAAAAAATACTAATTACTTCTGTGATGATCGAATTGAAGATAAATATTCTAGGCTAGGCTTATTTAAAGCAATGGAAATATATCTGCTCCACATCGAATAAATTATGATGGAATCGTCATTTGCTGATAAGGAATAAAAAAAAAAAAGATGATTAAAAATAAGCTGCAAATTACAAATTACTCATAGCAGCTAATGATTAGCTTAATATTGAATTGTTCTGAAAATTATGTATAAATATACAATTCCCATAGATCAGCGATCATTTCTGAACTGTGGAATGCTTCAATCATTTCGTGATAAAATGATCGCCTAAAGAAATTATCATGATTTTTTTCCAAGTCATTAAATTTAATGCTTATCAGACTTTTTGAAGTAATGGTTGAATCAAAGTTTATTTTTGTTTTAAAAGATAATAATTTATGCGAAGAGATGACGATATAATTATTTTTTCATGCCTTTCTTCATGTCACATTTGCGACCATTCCTCTATTATTTGAAATCATTTACAATTTTTAAGATAAGGCAAAAAAAAAAAAAAAAAAAGTTCGAGAAAGAAAACAAAATAAATTGGAAGAAACAAAAACCAAACAGCTCATTTCAGAAATTAAAGAAATTTGAAAAAACTGAGAAATTAAAATTAAAAGCTAAAACAATCTTGAAAAAGTTTTCAGTTACATTCTTTTTCAAGTTTGAACTTTGTCAATGATAAAAGAAATTTTTTTAATCTAATTCTTCGATGTGCTCATTCATTCCTCTTTTTGTCTTCCAAGAATTACACATGTGTCAACCAAAACGAAATTTGAATTGAATGGCTACACCAATCTTTTCTTTGACATTTCAAATTAATTTAAATGAAATCCTGTGCTGCTTCCTTGCTATTTCCAGAATGTAAACATCATAAGTATCATTTACTACAAAATTTTGCACAAAAAAGTAAAGCGAATACTTGAAATAGCACCGTTCTTCATAATATTGTCAGGAATAGCTGAGATGAGGAATAGTTCCATCTTTCTTCTCCAACGAGTGATAAGGTTCCTTCCTTGCTAGCAATCTTCTAAAGTTGTATCACACGATGCATTCATTACTTCGGTAATTCATTTCATTTCTTTTAGCAGTTCTAAACAGAATTAGTCACATGATATGAGTCCGATACTGTAAGTTTGTTTTTGTGGAAGCATTTTGTTATGGATTAATAGTAAATAAATATATGAAGATGGCTTGTTTATTTAGCGAAGAAAAACTATCAGCGATGGGAAAGACTAATTTTAAACGACAAAAAGTGAAATTGAATTTAATTTTAAAGTCAAAAGTTAGACTCAAAAGAATGAATTACACACTAAATGACTAAATTAACATTCCATACTGGGAAAGAAGGGAAATGATATTATCAAAAAAATTCTAAAGTTTCAGAGTAAAATTTCAAAATGAAAATTCTAAAGTAAAAATTTCAAAATGAAAAGAATTGTTAAAGAATGTTAAGAATTTTAAGCTAGCAAAAATAATGTCCCTGAAAAGAAGCCACATACAGTTAATGCAGTAATTAAAAAATGCATCAGGAAACGTTATTCACCAAATTTTAACACAACAATAGTAAAATAATAGTTGAAGAAAATCGAAAACAGGTTAGCGGCAATTTCCCAAAACTGAATGAAATTCATAAATTATCTAACAAAATAAGTTTTAAAAGGAAATTTTGAATAACTGATATGAATACATAATAAACATATAGTGGTACAAATATAAATCAAAACAATGAAAATCTGTGCAAACAAGATACTATTTAAATGATGATTTAAAAATGCTGACTGCAATTTTAGAACATTTAACGGTTTGTATTGTTACAACGGTCTTTTGAATATTTTCAGCGACTAACTTTTCTTCAGGAATAGCTATTTCAAATTACATTATCTACAAAGCAATATAATATGCAGCCAAATAAAACAAATTAAGAAAAAAGTTGAAACGAATGAGTTTTAAATTAAAATAAAGACGATTGAGGAAATTCTCGCATAAGTACACATAACTCATTTTAATATATTTATAGGCTAAAAATTCTTCGCCTGAAATTTTGCATTCTTAACTGCAACGTATAAATGCTTCAGACCGTTCGGTTCAAATACTTCAATAGAACTGCGAAAAGATTCTGAAAATAAGAACGGAACAGTTGCAAGACAATTTGAAAGAGATGTCATATTTAGCTTTATCAAAGAATAAACTTTCATAGTGTGGCAAATCATCAGCTTTTGTAG